GTCATGAACATGAAGAAGTCTTTATTAATGTTTATGACAGTTGTCATGAAGTGTCATTCGGTAAATAATGATACTTTTTATGCAAAGTTGCTCTAAAAGTTGCATTAAAAGTCCATTAAAAGTGCCAACTTTGCATGATTTTGTAAATTATGATAATTTAAGATCCTTGCTAAGGGCTGTGGCTTGTATAGGAAGGTATAGTACCAACTATTGTTTCACATGAGCAAACTGGATTTGTTAAGGGGAGGCAACTATTTTTTAATATCCGTACACTCCTGAACATTATTTACTCTAAAACCACCACTGAAATACCTGAAGTCGTGATTTTGTTCGACGCTGAGAAAGCGTTCGACAGAGTTGAATGGGATTATTTATTTGCAGTTTTAAGGAAATTTGGACTGGGTGATGCATTCATTTCTTGGATACGTCTCTTCTATATTTCTCCTCATGTGTCTCCTCCAATGGTATTCAATCCAGTTTTTTCAGACTTTTCCGTGGCACTAGACAGGGATGCCTGTTATCCCCTCTATTGTTTGCTCTGGCCATAGAGCCTCTCTATTTTTTTTTATTATTTTTTTTTGCTCTATTTTTCTGAAATGAGTTTTCAGACAGATCTGTCCCCGGCTGGGGAAGTTTGCGGTGAAAAGGAGACCGTTGAGTCTAAAAGCTCAACCTCTGCGCTGACAAAAGCAGCATTGTATTTGGAGAAAATTACAATTGATCACCTAAAAAAAAAAAATGTAAAAAAAAAATTTTCCCTCCTTTTTTTTATGCCTTAAGAAAATAAAAAAAATGGGAAAAAAATCCTGACACAAAGGATCATAATTCATGCGTGAAAAGGTTAATAATAACAATATTAGTTGCTGACAACACAAAGGAATTTATAATCTGTTTGAAAATCTCCAAGCATTTGACAGATTTCATGTTTAATGTTCAGTCTTGGCTTTCTTAGGAGTCACATTCAGCTGCAGCGGGCGGCTAGTTACAACAAAAATATTAAGGTCCAAATGGTCGGCACAGGAACAAACTGCCAGCTCTCGCAGCTGAGGAAGGTCAAAGCAATGAAAGAGTTTTTCTCAGTATAGCTCAGGGAAATAGAGTAAATCTAAGACACAGTAAAAGAGTTGGATTTATCTTTATCCGGAGATCAGAAACCTGACACTAAATAAAAAATGACTGCTTCCTGGCTGCTTGATTTAAAATGTTTTTTTGCCAACTAGAAAGGACAATCAATACAGATTCAAGATCAAAAGCATTTGCGAGCTAAACTAACATACTCCATTTAGATGCTTCTGAGGTTTGTATTTCTAAGCAGCTTATTAAGCTGCACTGCAAAAACACAAAATCCTACCAAGTACTTTAGATCCAAATATCTTAGTACACATGAGTTAATACAAAACTAACCTACAAGTGAATATTCAACAAGAAATAGAAGCTTGCTTTAAGTCAATAATCCTTTAATATTGATGAAAAGGTACTCGTTATACTGCCAGATTAATTAACTAAAATAATCTGACAGTGTAACTAGTACTTTTTTAAAATCAATATTAGGGAATTGTTGTCTTAAAATAAGTTCCTATATCTTGCTAAGAAGTTACTTGTAATTTAGTTTTGACTTATTTCAAAAGATATTTGCACTGGAAACCAGACCAAAAATATTTGGTAGATTTTGTGTTTTCTATATACATAACATTAAGCCAACAAATGGATATGGATTATAATGTCAGATTAATTCACTTATAACATGAAAAATCATCTTGGTACAAGTGAAATGATCTTCCAGTGTAACAAATACATTTTTATCTATATTTAGGAGTTATTGACTTAAAACAAGCTCCTTTCTTGTGCAATAGAAAAAAAAAATACTTGGTAAGATTTTGTTTTTGAACCTTCACTTTCCTTGATAGCTAAAATATTCTGTTTCCATACTTTTTTCTTGGTTCAAATATGACATTTTGTTAACATATTAAAGGCCCAGCAGCCTTACATGACTCATGATAAAAACATCTCACGGATGCGACACTGAAAAGGGCTTCAGTTTCAATTTTCTCATGATAACTTGCACCCATCCTCCCTTTGACAGCCTTCTTCTCACCCCAGCCCTCCACTTTTCCTCACATCCCACCTGCTTCCTGGAATTTTACCCTCTTTTACCCCAGTTTTCCTGTGATCACACACCTCACCGCGTGCTCCGACTAACAGCCGGAGTGCCGCGTTGCAGACGTGTTGCAAGAGCAATGACGCAAAGGCTTGTTGCAACAGAAGGATTTTTCCATTAAAAAAAGAAAACATATTTGTTAATGAAAAAAGAAAATTCAAAGCTTCTAATTTTTTTGGCACACATTGTGGCAACTCAAGCTGTTTCAAACTCTTTAATCATTGCTCGTTGTAGAAATGTTCACGTCTGGGTGAACAATTATTTTTATCCATCCATTTTCAGACCTAATGATCAACACAGACCTGCCTTTCACTGCAAAAACACAAAATCTTACTATTTTTTGTAGTTTCTAGTCCAAATATCTTAGAACACTTGAAATAAATTCAAACTAACTTACAAGTAACTTTTCAGCAAAATATAGGAGCTTGTTTTAAAATAATTCCTTAATATTGATGAAAAAGTATTAGTTCCACTCGCAGATTATTTCACTTATAACAAGACATTTTCCAATGTTGTAAGTGAAAAAATCTGCTTGTGGAACTAGCACTTTTTCATCAATATTAAGGAATTATTGACTTAAACTAATACTAATTGCTCAAAAGTTACTTGTAAGATAGTTTTGACTTATTCCAAGTGTACTAAGATATTTGGACTAGAAAGTAGATTAAACTTTGCAAGATTTTTTGTTTTTACAGTGTTGTTGAATAAAAAGTTCTCTTGTCGTTCTTGTTTTGAATAATGCAGCATGCCTTAGTCACCTGGTGACACCATAATGTAGAGTTGTCTATAATCTCTGTAATCTTATTATGTATTGTAATCTGTGATAGCAGAAACATGTGGATGTTGAATTAGAAGGGACCCAGGTTGGAGCCTTGGGGAATCCCAAGTAGGGTCTTTGTTTTTTTCTTCTGCTGCCACCTTCATGTGAATGTTGTGTTCATTTTCAGGTAAAATTTTGGATTCATCTGACTAAATAAAATTACAACCGCCTGTTTGGTTAAAGTCCAGTGACTCTTCTTGCTACTCTTACATAAAAAAAAAAAAATTGTAGTAATAGTTCTGCAGTCATCAAACTCACCCATCTGAGCTGTGAAACTCTTTCGCTCCTCCGGAGTCAACATGAGTTGCAATAATTCCAGTACAAGTTATTGCTAAAACTGTTTTCCTCTCTTACATGTTCAGTTAGTGTGAGATTATGTCACTGCAATAAAATATGCATTTATTTTTTGTCTTTCTGCACATCTTTATCAAGGGTCCTAACAGGACAGTTGGATCAAACTGGCATTCACTGCTACAATATGTCACATATTTGCTAAATTCTCACTTGTTTGCTTCTGTCTGGTCTTTATAAATGAAACAATTGCTTAGAGGAAGAATAGAAATGATTCCGTCCAGATGGGCTCACAGAGTTAGCTGTGTTTGGCATTGTATTGCTTCTGAACAAGCCTTAAAAACCTTTTTTCTTTCCTTTGAAAGGCCTAAAAAATAGATGAAAGGAACTCCAGCAGCAGAGCATTATAAAATCCTCCACCATCACAGCACAGTTGATATAAAAGGCACTAAAACACATGAAGATATTCCAGTTTACTGCAGCCAGCGGACAATAACAGGGTCTTGAACCTGTTAAGAATCTCTCCATCACACTGGAGAAAGAAATCTCATATACACTTGAGTCAGGAAGGAGCTTTATTGAAAAAAAAAAAAAATCCAGATTAGTGATGTTTCACTCTGCTTTTATCGTTTTCATGCTCACTGGTATGATAAATGAACACAGAAACATCACTCTAAACCTTCCTTCCTGTTTCCACGAGGTTTACAAGATAGCAAGGCGAACCTTTAAGACCTCGCTCAATTTCCACATGCATGGCTCGTCAGTTGCATGCTGTAAATGTTTTATCTCATGCCAGAGGCACTCAGCTGGAGTGGACCGGTCTCTTGAAATCAAAATCTGAGGCTTGTTTTACGGAACCCGTATGCGACTTCTGCTGCGCAACATAATGCATCATTACAGGCGGCATCTGCCCACAGAAAAAGGTAAACTGTTGTCGTAAAGGGAGCCTGGAGTCCTCAGTCGCGCACTGAGTCATCATCATTACCCAGGCTGTTGACACAACGCAGATTGGGTCTGTGGAGTCATGCTATGGATGGATTAATATTTGATCCGACCATCTGGGCCTGTCGATATAAATGCAGATTTCTCAGTCCGGGCTAAATGTGTCCAGCGTTCAGCCGGGCAGCTTGGTGAGCTTCTGCAGACTGCACCCTTTCACACTTCTGTTCCTGGCAGACAGGAAGATGAAGCCATGATGATCTGCTGCTCAACATGTTGGACGTTCTGAGCTTCCGATTCTCCAGAATGTTTGTAACGCATGTCTGTCTAAAGTTACAGCTACAGGCTTAATCTGAACGCGATGCGTTTTATCCTATTAACTTCTGTATACAAGCTCTTCACTGCAAAAACAAATAGTTTTGGTCTAGATTAGAGCAAATATCTTAGCACAACCCACAACTCTGCTTGTTTTAAATCAACAATTCTTTAATATTCATGAGAAAGTATTCATTCCACTGGCAGATTATTTCAATTATAATATGGGAAAATGTCTTGCTATAATTTAAATAATTTGCCAGTGGAACTAGTGTTTTTTTCATGAATATTAAGGCAAACCATATTTTGATGGAAGTTACTTATGTTAGTTTTGTCTTATTTCAAGAGTGCCAAGAAATTTGCACTAGAAACTACATCAAAAATACTTTTTTTTTTGTTTCTGCAGAAAAGGAAGACAGGCATCAAGCCCATACCACCCCCCCACAACTCTGCAAGGCCAAGCAGGTACAGACGATAGATTGATGACATACAAATTTATTTAAAATTAATCTGCAGAAGAGGAAAAGCATCACCTAAAATGACAGTGAGGAGAATGTTACATCCCACCAGCACCCCCCACATGGTGGCTGTATTTACCAAGTGTGGGGGCACTTGTTAGCCAAGTAAGCGGCAGCTACGTTCCAGACGGCGGTGTCTCCATCAGACTCGCTGATACACTGGTGATGACATGGCAGACAGACCCTGTAGAGTGTTTCATCACGGTACAGCGAGGTCGTTTCTTTGGTAGCAAAATGAAACAAACCCGAACTAAACCATTTTCTTTCTGGGATTTATTAACTTAGACATCTTTCTCAAAGAACACAAACATAATGGTCATTATTGGCTTTGTGTCCCAATATTGATGAGGCTAAAAAAACATTTATTAAACCTTTTCTTTTTCATATGTGGCGAGTAGTAATTGATACCAACTTTAAACCTGAATTATTTGAAAAACAAAAAACAAAGTCATAATAATAATAATCATAATAATAATATTGATATTCATTTAATTTTGGTTAGTGTGACAGCAATTACGCCAGAAGGTCGTAAAGCTCTTCTTGTCCTTCAAAAACCAAAGTACAGAGAGGAGGTTTCTCATTTAAAAGGGCCAAAGAGGGTCTGGTGAAGTGAGACCCGGTGATTGCAGCAGCAGCAACGAGTCAGTGGTGTAACACAAGATCCTGAGTTTGTGTTTGTCACTTCTTTTTGGGCTGAGCTGCGATGTAGAGAGCCACCAGGCAGTAGACGACGCCTCCGATCGTGAGAGCCATGGTGGTGCGGTATAGTAGTTGGTCGGGATATCCGCGCTTTAGATGGACTGGGATACCGTCCGATGTCTGAAGGTTGGGACAAACGGAGGAGAAATAGAAAAGAATATGACTGTCAAAAGACAGAAAGTTGTTGCAGAGCGTTCAGATCACAACACTTCTTTTAAACATGACCTATTATGGTTCCTTGAACAGGTTAGCATAGGTTAATGGGTTACACAAACCATGTTCATCACATTTTTTGCACAAACTCATTCTTAGATAATGAGATTTTAGTCTGATCTCCTTTCAGAGTGAGCCGTTTTAGGGACTCTTGTCACTTTAAATCCAAATAAGCTGCTGCTGGCCACGCCCCCTCCCAGCTAGGTTGCTAAGTAACAGGGTTGCTAGGTAACGGCACAGTGCCCATCTACTTGTGACTTACAAATCAGGAGGTTTTTGAAACTGCTCACTTTCCAGACACCAAAAAACATGAACTTATTGCCAAAAAACACCTGGGTGTTTGTCTTTTTAAAAGCTTGAGTTGTTTCTAGAAGCAGTTGACACCCAAATTGGAGTTCAAAACATGCAAAATGTGAATTTTGCGTAACAGTTTCCCCTTAAGCTCCAGCAGTCGATGTTTCATTTGACTGGTGTGTTTGTTTTCCTCTGAAGTGGTGAGCTGTGGTGGGCTGTGCGGCGGAGGTTGCTCAAGGCCATTCAGACCATGTAGAGAGTGAAATAAATATTAGTCATTACCTAAAATCTACTCTGTGCTTTGAAAACCGTACTTTAGGACTCAATGCGCCGCTCCTGTTTGACCTCGATGATAGAAGGGCTTTGAACCGGTATTGTTTAGCAAATGACAAGGTCTGTAAAATCTCAAAACCTAGATTAATCTATCTTAAAGTTCTTGTGTAAACTCAACTCCCCAATCCTGCTGTTGGTTTACCATCTGTGATTTTGTCATTTTGCACTCCCAGCTCACTGGTCGGCTGCACAATTTGCAGGATTTTTTTTTTTTTAACTAGCAAAACTGTATGACAGGACATGAACCTCAGTTTTCTTTTAACAATTAAATTGTTTGTCACCTTTTACAATGATATTCACAGTCGGATTGCACAATATAAGAAAGATTGTACAATATTTTTAATGGTTGCAATGCTAAAGTAAAAAGGGTGTTGGAGAACTTGTGATGAAGAAAAAAAAGTCAGAAAATGTGGGTTAATTATAATAGTGCAATTTTTAGAAACGGGATCAAAATAACTGGCAATAACTTTGGAATAATTGGCAATATAATTGAAATATTTGGCAACTGCGCCAAAGTAATCGGCAATAGTATCAGATTATAAGTCAATAGCATCCAAGCATCCCAAAAATAGTTTCAATGGCGTCGGACTACTAGGCAATAGCATCACAATAACTGTTTGAGTCAAGTACTACACAATAACAATATAAATACATATTTCATCAGAAATACATGTGATACCAAGTGTGCATTTTTTTAATACACACAGACATACTGCATTGATTTTAATTACATTGGGATAATTGACCATTTTGTAAAGGATTCTGATCCGTACCAGGAACAAAAAGAAATCCTGATCTGGACATCACTCATTTTTTCCCATTACATATGAAATTTTTAAAAATATTTATTACCTGGAAAAATTTCTGGAGGTCAGGAACTTTGTTTGCTCCCAAATACTCCACTGTGGACCCTGCTTCTGAGACCACCTTGGTGGGTGTGGCGAAGATCATGGTGGGAGACTCTGCAGGCAGGCTTTGCTTCAACCCCTAAATCATAACAAAAGAAGATTTTTAAATACATTTAAAAGAAAATAAAAAAAATACATTTTTGATGGCTTTAATTCGTTTCCATTTTTCCAAAAGTCCTTGATTACATTCATGGGAAAATAAAACCAAGATATTTATTTTTAACATTCTCCGCTTATATAAGCTGCTTTTCTTCCCCGCCCACCCAAACCAAGCCTGTGGGTATGAGACCTTGACAGAGACCTTAATAAACACAAAAAGCATTGAATCAAATAAAATACACTAAAAAAAGAAGATGAATAAAGGACATTTTACATAAAAAGAGGATGTGAGGCAATCAGTCAACATCTTCCAGCAACAAAGTCAAGGATTAATTATAAGAAGGATTTAAAATTTAATTACTTCCAGCTCAACACAAGTCAGTTTCATAGATCCAATCCTTTTAAGTTCAAGGACGAGGCTTTCACTATAAAACAAGAAGGCTCTTTTCTTTACATGCCATCATACCGAAAACCTTTAAAAAGTTGAATTTATGTGCAATGGTGAGTAAATACTTTTTCTCTTAGCAAAAAGTGAGTTTAATCAGGCACAAAGTTGTGAGCAGATCTTTAATTATCTGATTTATATCACCATAAAGACTTGATAAGAAGTCTCTTCACATCGATCTTTTGTAAATTAAGCTCAAAAAGAGTCAATATTCATTTTGTAGGTTGTGTAATATCTCTGATTCTGTGAGTGTTTTATTGATTCAGAGTCATGTCTCGACTTGATTTAAATTGGTTAGGCCGTTAAGTGTAAAATATACAGCACCCTTAACGGCTGTTGGCAACCCCGGTGCAGAAAAAAGGCTTTAAAATAAATTACACTGCAGCAGTGTAATCTTAAATTGAAAAATCCTATCATTAATTGGCAGAAAAATCCCATTTTCATTTAAATCTTATGCATCACACTAATGGTTGGCAACAGGGCATTTGAAATTTGCCATCTTATATTACCAGGGAAACGGGAAGTTATGAAATATGAATCAAATGTTTCATCTTAAAAAGGCATTTGAAATTCTAAAAAGTCAATTACATTCATGTTTTAAGAGTCGGTAGTGGTGCTATAAATTATGTCAATAATTTTGTTTAAAAATAAGAAAAGTTTGGACATTTTCCCACAAAAATAAAACGATTGTAGAAAATATTCCAGGGTAGATCATTTTTATTTTTGTTTTAAAGGAATTATTTGGGGTGCCACAATAAATGTTTCACTGGATTTTCTAGCAAAAAAGAAAATAAAGTGAACATTTCATCACACTATTTTGTGAGCATTAAAAAAGAAAAAAATGCAGCTAAACTGAGACTACTAATTCAAAAAAAGGTTATGAAGAGCAACATCCCCAGAAAAGACTAACCTTTCCATTCATTTTACCACGTTCCCTTTATGGATGGTTATATTTTCTTTTGGAGCAACATTTTGAGATCAAAGCCCGACCCGGTACGTTTTATAGTGACCTTCTATTTTTCTGCAGTGTGCTGAGTAACGCTGGTAAATAAAGCAGCGGTCTCCTGGGTGTCAGTATCCTTTAATTTACATAAAAGTTTCTGTCAAAGCGTGTGGAGGCAGATACGTAGGCGATGCAAATCAAAACAGGACACATAAAAAAAAAGAAAGGAGGGCAAACTTTCACATCAAGAGATCAACATATTTTTTCCCTTTTCTGTTATTGAAGTGTCAAAAAGCCCAAGTTAAATGTTATTTTATTTGTAGAAGTACCATAAAATATTCCAAATCATAAATACAATTAAGGAACAAATAAAGAACTACATTTTATAAAATATATATTTTATAATCCAATCACAGTTAAGACGCAACACAATTTATAAATCAGATTTGTTCAAAAAAGTTTTTAGACATTACTACATTTGTCATATTTCAAAAGGACATTAGAAACTGGTCATTGTGTAGTAACTTCTACGGTGACAATAAAATACAACTTTACAACATAATATTTTAGATGCATTAAGGCACAAATGATATTTTAAGGTTGAACCTGGTGGCAGAAAAGCCAAGTGCACTGCAGCTCAAATTTCATTACTGAAAAACTAAATAAACTTAACGTTTATAACCTACAATAGGACATTTTTGCCCGGCACAGCTGCCCTGCGGAAGCTTAATCCTTAATAATAAAAACTGCTGAAAGTAGTCAGCTGTAATGTGATTTTAGAGGATGTAGTCTGTGTTGCAGCTCTCTTTATATTAGTTGTGCAAAAACAAAAGAAGCTAAAAAATAAAATGAAGAGATGACGGCCTATTTAAGAGCATAACATTTGACAGTGAACTGTTAAACCTGTGGAACAAATTGGATCTGTGTGTGTGTGTGTTATGACCGGGTGAACAGCATTATAAACAACACACACAAACACACCGTTTCACATGAATTGTGGCTGTAATAAAATGGAAAATCTACCAGTGTGGGTTTACCCATGAGCTGTAAAAATATTAAATCAATGTTTATCACATTATCCGGGCCATCTGCTGCTGTTTCATTACAGGTGGAGACTGAGCGCTGTGCTGTGTGAATGACGCCTGCACCGGCTTTAACCAGATTTCAGCCCAGTGGCTCTCACACTGTTTACACTGTTGCATGAGACGCGGTACGTAAAAACTTCTCCCACTTAGCGAGAACAAAGTCTAGAAACTAAAATACTTGGCAGAGAAAATAAGAAAATTAAATATCCTTTTTTGTTCAGTTTAGAAAAGTTTGAATTATTCTGGAAAAAAAAAATAGAAAAAGAAAGCGCGCACACACACACAAACAACCCCCTCCAAATGCTTGAACACAGCTCCTAATTTAAAAACAGGGAGGATAATCAATGTCAATTGCTTTGCAACTGTCTGCCTGTGGCAGCAGTGTAATGAAACAGGGCTGTGGTTCCACTACGAGTAAATCCTCCACATTGATTACCAACGAGAAGGTACAGAAAAACTTGCTTTCTCAACCTATAACAAGTATTTTTCACAGGCATCACTAATTTGACAGTGGAAAAGTTAAAATACAGCTTGGAGGAACAGGCCTACAACTTCCCAATGTTGTTTTCTTCCATACTAAACATTGCTTTTATGCAAAAGGTACCATATCAGAGTTTTAATCTGATATGGTACCCATCTCTGACACTGAAAAATCCCAGTGTCAGAGTTGGGTGTTGTCAGTTCAAGTGGGCGATATAGCTTTTCTACTTCTACTTACTTTCATTTATAATCAATTTTGCAAATTTCTCTCTATGAACTGAGTGAAGTAGCCTTCTTTATCTGTGCTATAAATCTGGTGGTGGAGAGATTTCAAGTGACGGGCATTCATCGTGTTGTCATCCAAGCCATGTTACTGTGAAATGTAATCTCTGCTATTGAGAAATTGAGCTGTTAGCATGTCATGACAGCCATGAGACTGTCATTCAGTAACTGTCTTCAGTCAGAGGCCTCTTCCTAGCAGCTGCAAGACTGACTGCTACCAGAAATCCTCCCAACCAACAGAATCACCATCCATGATGAAGATACTTAAATGATATGAGTTGCAACATTTAAATTCTCTTTGGAATTTAAATCATTTTTAATTAAATAGAATTTTCTAAATCGGAAACTAAAATTGGAAGCCAACTTCAGCTTTGTATATATTATTTGACTGTTTTAAATGCCATTAATTTCAAATAAAGCCCGGATTAAAACACTGAAATACCCTTTAAGGTCAAAGCTGAAAGATTAAGATTTAAGAGGTGAAAATGGGGCACTGCACCGTGGAAAAAAGGCAAACTTTTCATAAGGTACCGAATGTCATAACAGGTGAAAACAGAAAATTACCCATACGTAAAATAACGATGAAGTTAAGCAATATAAATTTTCGTTGGGTTTAAGCGTAGCAAAGGGAACATCACCAACAAGTGTCCTTAATATACATATTTGTGAATATAATAAAAAAAAAATCCCATATATTTTTCAGCTGTGGTGGTCAGCTCAAAAGCTAGCTAGCAAAAGCAGGATCCGTTATCTAACAAACCCACGCCAAGGTCAGTAGAGCCATTAAAATTTCGGTTTGTGACCTACACACCGCTTCAAACTCTCACCTGAGGGTTGTAGGCCGCCGTGGGAGCAGCACCCGTCAATTTCTGGGTGAAACCGCTGAACTTATAGTACATTTTCCTGCTGAAGGACAGAACAAGGTGCTGGTGCCACAACAAACCGACCGGTTAAGGACCTTTCCCTCTCCAACCTTCACAGGAAGAAGACGCTGTGAGGTGCCCCCAGCACTGCCTGATTAAAAATAAAGGCAGAAAAGGTGAAAACAAGTTACGCCGATAATAGTTGTGTAGTTTGAAAGTTTTATTTAAATGTGTAAATCAAATTAAAATATTTAAATAGTAAAATGTACATTTATACCATAGATTGAAAAATACATATTGCAAAGTGACATCAAAAGTACCATAATCTTACTCTTCAGTACGGAAAGCAGGAAGAGACAAATGTCGAAAGAAATACGTGTGTCTGGATTTGTACGATATCGATTCTAAGGTAAGATTTGAGAAGATAACGATTCATAGGTTTACTGTTGTGTTTAAAATTTCTGATAATTTTATAATGTATTTTTGCTCATAAATGAAAATGCACTCATATTTTAACCTTTAGGATAGTTAGTTTATATGGCTAATGCTAAGAAATTTCAAATGCCCCCTTTGAATGTATTTAGGAATGATTTTTCAAAGTAGGAAAAATGCATCTAATCTCTTCAGCCACAAACATTCAAGTTACATCCTCCATATTAGCATCTTGGATGAAATTGTATGAATGACTTAAACTATTTATATTTTACATCCTGTTTTTGAATTATTCAGATGGAAATGCAGTACAGCATTAAAGTTGTTTCATATTCACCAGTACTTAGTTATATTAACAGTGATGTAAACAGACACATTCAACCCTGAAAAAGAATTCCTGCTTTTTTAAATGTTTCAAATTTACCACAAACTACAATATTGAGATTATATGTTAGACCAATATAAAGTCACACATAATTGTAGTGTACAAATACTTTTTACAACTGAACATCTGAAATGTGGCATGTATTTTTATTCAGTTTCCTAGAGTCAATTTTTTTTGTAGGTCTATACAAGTAGAAAATGTCTCATTATTGCAATATTACACATGATATACATATCGCAAAGAAATGTGTGGACTGCTATAATGCTGGCTATTTGTTTTAAGTGCTTATAAAATATTTGGTGACCCCTATTGTTTTCTGCAGGATTTTAAAAAATAAATTAGTTGTAACTATGTTGTTTCAATACCAAAAATGCATAAGTGTTGATGAAAATGGATGATTTTAATCAAAAGATTGTCCCACCTGAGCTGTTAATTTCTGCAGCTCCTCCAAAGGTACCACAGAGTCACCCACAATTCTCAAATAATAAATATAAATGAAAAAAAATTTATCTTTAGATTTTGTGCTTTTTCAGTTATGGGAGTCTATGAATATTATAGTCAGTCTGATTGCTTAGGAACTTTAATTTTAAATCCTTGGCTTTCTGTCTCCCTGGGATACAAATATAACTACAGACAAAGGCCAAATTTTCCAAGCCACTCTTCTACATGAGAATTACCAATAAAGCGTGGCATTCGGATATAAAACAGTTGTGAGTGCCTACCTAAACATACTTTTGATTTAGTTTGCAAATGTCTTAGTACACTTGAGATAAAACAAAACTAACTTACAAGTAACTTTTCAGAGAGATATGGAAGCTTGTTTTAATAATAATAATAATAATAATAATAATAATAATAATAATAATAATAATAATTAATTAGTTAATTAATTATTGGCAAAAATGTCTTGTTATACATGAAATAATCTGTATTATTTTTTTTTAATCAACATTAAGGAACTATGGATTAAAGTAAAACAAGCTCCTATATTTTGCTGAAACATTACTTTTAAGTTAATTTAGTCCTAATTCACATATACCACGATATTTGCACTAGAAACTACACAATACCGGGTAAAATTTTATGTTTTTCCTGTATACATTGAAGACAGTTGGAGCTGTGACAGAAAAACACCAGATGTGAATCTAAGGTTATCTTGCTGGCACAGAGTGCAGAGGATAGTAAGGGAGATAGATATAAGATCAGTATGAGATTATTGTAACGTAATAAATAAGGCTTTATTTCCTCACTTTCACTGGAGTTTCTCTTAAACTACTTCGTACAAAACACCAAAGGGAGACTTTCCTTGAACATCAAAAATCTGTTTTTATTGTATCCTAATAAAAGGGAGAAGTGAAGGAAAACCAAGTTTTCAGAAAGCTTATTGATGATGAGCATGAAATAGGTTTTTTGAAGAGTTTGAACTCCGGTGGCATTCCCTCTGCTTCAGGCATTTCCTTCTTTTTGCTGCTTTTTGTGAGACCAGCAGTGGTGCAGCTTTCACCGCACATGTGACTCGGAGGAGAGCGCTGGCGGGCTCAGGTGTTCATCGTTCTGAATGTTAAGATTCAGTGCCTACATGAAGCAGAAATGCAGCTTATTTTTAGCCTACAGTTACATCATCATCACTTTGAAATTAGGAAGCACCAGCGACCCAAAAAAATCTGTCTCCCCTGGTGATCGAGACACGTGACTCTATGGACTGACAGTAATAAGATATGACACTTCATTTAATGAAGATGAATGTGGTTGGAGCAGCCAGCTTATGGAGTCTTGAAATATAAAGTGCCTTGTGAATGTATTAGTACCCAGTGAATCTTTTCATATTACAACTATAAGCTTCATGTTAGTTTTATTCAGATTTTATATTAGCACAAGGTACTGGGATGAAGTGGAAAGAAACCTATCAATGTCTTGCTCCATTTTTCTCTTATTTTAAAAATATGTGGTTTTGAAGTATAAATACACAAACAGATTTGTAGTCAATCTCCAATACCTGGATAATCCTAGATTAAAAACTCATTTGTTTCCCTTCAGAAGTCACCAAATTAGCAAAAGGAAAATATACTTGTATTTAAATAATTAACTGAGCTTACTGTACTGTTTGATAACTAGAATAAATTGGAAGGTATGTGTTTAAATTAAAATAATATTTGTTAAAATGCCCTGAGACAACATTTGTTGTGAATTTGCTCTATATAAAGAAATTGTTTTCAAGCATTTCATAAGAAGTGAAATATAGAATGAGGGGAATTGTTCCTACCAGAATGGAAAACATTAACCTATAAAACTTTCTCTAGTGTTCAGATATTTAAAATGAAATACCTGCTATTTCTTCTTGTGTATGAAATTGCATTTTGTGTCACTTTATGACACTGTTTGCTATAAAATTACTTGGCAAAATTGGTAAAAATCAACTGATCCAAAGTGTGGCCCGATATCGGTATTGGAAGTGAAAAAAGTGGATCGGTGCATCCCTAGCTGTAACGTGATAAAATGTGGAAAAAGTCCAAGAGGCAAAGATACTTTTGCTTATTTATCTTATGATAAAGTTTGAAATAAGCAGTCAGACACTTTGGTTCTACATATCAGAGGTTTTATTAGAAAAGCTCAAACACTGATCACATTTATCATGAGTATCGATGAAAAATGTCTGATTGAGGGTTTCAATCAAAATGTTCTTTCCTGAAAACAAAAGCTAAATGATTTATGTCAGAACTCAGCTAATGAAATATTTGATTTCATTTCAAGACATCTGCTGAACTTAAAGAGCACACAAAGAACAACAAGAAAATTCAATGTGACAAGCACGCTCTAAACTAATACAGACTTCTAAAACAGTGCTGGAAACACTTAGATTGACTTAGACATTTGATTTATTTGAAAAAAAAAAAGTCAGTTTAATGTGTAATAAAGGGGGAGGAAAAGGAGAAGAGATGTAGAGAAAGACTGTTGTGTGGGAGAGGTGTTGACTTGTTTGTTTGGATCATGTGTCTGTTCAACAAATCGCATCATCTTGGCAAAGAACGCCACAAACATGCGTGAGTTATCAATGTATCAATGTCAGAACCATCATTTTGTGGCAGCCCTGGATGCTCCTTTTTTTTTCAAACACACTTTCATTTTTTGCACTCAGTTTTATCTCGATTTGTGTTGTGATTCTCCGCAAAAATCCCAGGACAAAGCTGTTTTGCACCATCCAGGAGGTGTGCGTGGATGCAGTCTATTTGTGTGCACAGAAATCAACCACCATAATGATTGGCATGTTGGAGGATGAGGTTGCCTTGGAGACTGAGAAACACAAAATGCCTCACATTCACTCGCAAATAAAGAAGCAGCTTTTCATTCTTTGTGCTTCGGCTTTGTCTTTTTTTCCTTTTTTTTGCAATATTTTTTCCATCCTCCATCTCAGACTCCATCTGTCCTGTTGTATCTTTGTCTGTTTTATTGTCTGCCACTTTGAGGTCCCTCCTGACCTAAGCCCATATTTCATTATTCTTGGCTTAAAGCTCATCTAACACTCTGGGTTCTCTGTGTAACCCCTCGCATTTGTTCGCGCCTCTCTCCTTATTTCACACCGGTCTCACAGAATGCATCTAGGTCACACATCATTCTTGTGTAACTTTCTCCATCTGGGTTTAAATCTCTGAAAAAGTGAGCAGCCAACAGCCAGACAAACAAACACACACGCATACACACGTACACACACCGATGCAGCCATTTCTGCCTGATCTGTAACCATGGGGACACAGTGTAAACAGCAGCCATAGATAAAATGGGATTGGCTTTACATGTGTGTCTCTAATAAATAATTCTCTCTCTCTGTGTGTTTATCTGCATGCTGTGCTTTTAAAGGTACACTCCAGGTGGTGAAGCACAAGTTCTTTGAAGAAGGTATTAGTAGGCTGTAGCTTACCTGCAGAAGACAGAAATCATCAGGAGGTGAGGCTGGAGGAACACGGAGACTCTACCACAGGACTACAGGTCAGTACTGGTCAAACTGGGGCTGCTGTTTCAGCCTTTAAAACGTCCTGACACCTACTTTTTACACCAACCATTATTGGGAGGAGATATAATTTAGGATATAACTCACACCAGAATGAGGAGGGACATTCCTCAGACACTTTCATCAGAAATGATGACATATAATCTGTTTATCAGATTATAAGATTATAACGTTTGTAAGGTGCACAGTAAAAAAAAATTAACAGCAATATTATGATGTATTTAGTCTGTCATAGAGTCAAAAATTGTGTTAATTTTTCAATCATATTTGAACCGTGTCATTCATATGTTTATAAATGTTTTAGTTCCAAACTAAATATTTAATTCATAAACCAAATGCTTATCTTGAAAATGTTTGTAATTAATTTATTTAGTTTACAAGCATTTACATTTAGCTCCAAATTAAATATTAATTTGTTAACTAAATATTTAGTTTCAAAATTAATGTTTATTTTAGTTTGTGAATTAAATATTTAGTTTGGGATGAAACATATGGTGAACATATGACTTTGAAAAATAAACACCCAGTTTTGTTCTCTATCTCTAAATAAACCAAAAATATTGCTGTTAATTTTTTTTATTATATAACTTTACAAATATAAGTTGGAAAAACAACAATTTATGTCTTCAAACTATTTTTTAACAAAGATAAGCTGATTAAAATAAGAAATAAATTTATTGGGGGAAATAATCTATCAAAAAAAAAAACCTGGGCAGGTGTGAAAAATGTATTTCCACTTGCTTCATCTATAGTCAGAATATGTGATTCAACAATAAGAAAGAATATATAGGAGAAAAAAAAGATAAAATCACTGATGGATAAAAACAACAAAGAAACAAAAACAACTCTTCATGATCTCCAAACATTTTAGAAAAATAATCCAAAACATCTGGGGATTGACATGTTCAAAGAAATACTTTTAGAAAGGTGTACATTTTATTACACCTGCTGTAAAACTAACAGAGAATTTGAGAAAAAAGAACCTCGTACTAGCAGTGAAACACGGTGGTGGCAGTGTGGTGGTCTGGGGCTGCTCTTATTGATGCGACAGAAATCCTGAAGGAAAATATCAGACCATCAGTTCCTGGCCTTAAGCTCAATCCCACTTCATACAATGACACAATGATTAAAATACTCTAAAAATGAACACTTTGTAGTGGTCTAGTCAAAGTTTAGACTTAAATCTGACTGAGATGCTGAACATAAACAGGAAGTTCATAATCCAAAATTCCTTCAAAGCAATATTAGATTCTCATCGTCATTTACTGTGATGGAGTTGTTACTGCCAAGGACTAAGTATTAGATTTATGGTATAGATAACTTTCTCCCCCTGTTATAATTTTTTTTTTGTATTCAGGTTATCCTTTAAATTAAATTTATTTTTATGATCTGAGAAATTTAAATGTACAAAAAAACAAAAACAGGAAAAGGGGATACCTTTTGACTTTTATTTTGAAAATCTGAAAATCTGTCCTCTGAACCTCTCTGCTGTCCTCTGCAGGTAAGATACTGATTACTGATTACTTCATGTCGTTTGCTGGTCAGTTATAATCAGTTCTACTGGAGACAGAGACTATGTAGATAGAGGAAGGGTGTCCAAAGTGTGGCCCGGGGGCCACTTGTCGCCCTTCAAATGACTCCCCAAGAATGGTTCAGGTTTGTGAAACAAAACAGAAAAGAATTGATTATCCAAAAAATAGGCATTTTTATTTTAATAAAGCAACAATATATGTTTTATCTTTAATGATTTAAAGATTTCCAAAAAAGAAAAAAAATTTCAGCAGGTAAAATAAAAGTCACAGTTAACTAATTTTTGCATTTTTAATTTAATGGATTTTGTGGCCTGTGAGTGGTTTAAATTAGCCAGTTTTGGCTCCTAGAGCAAAAAGTTTGGACACCAACGATGTAAAGCAACAATATCGAATGCTGAACTGCAAAAACACAACATCTTACAAAGTATTTTTTTTGTCTAGATCCTAGTGCAAATATATTTGGACACTTGAAAACAAATGAATAGACTTACAATTGGCTTTTTAGCAAGATATAGGAGCTTGGTTTAAATAAATAAACAGTACTCACTCATAATAACGCAGTTTTTTCATGTTATAAATTCAATAATGTGCCAATGGAACTTGTACTTTTTAAAAAAATTAATATTAAAGAGTTATTGTCTTAAAACAAGCTCCTATATCTGGATGAACAGTTACTTGTGAGTTAGTTGTCTTTTGAGACATTTCACTAGAAACAAAACAAAAACACTTGGTAAGACTTTGTGTTTTTGCAGTGTGCCAAAGCCAGGAGACAGGGCAGTTCACACAGTTGGTTATTTCACAAGGAGATCCTCTGGTTTGCTGTGTTTGTGTCTGATGTGGTTCACTGCAGAATCTCTGAAGTCACGTTTCGTGCGTATCTAGCGGAGCGGAGCTTCAGTTCGTGGTAGCACTGAACAAAGCTGTGGTAGATGAAAGTGATGGGCAGAGCCAGGAGAACAATCCCGCTCACAACACACATCCCCCCGAGAACTCGTCCCCAAGTCGTCACTGGATACACGTCCCCGTACCCGACTGTAGTCATGGAGATGATGACCCACCAGGCGGCGGCCGGGATGCTGGCGTAGTCCTGGTTCGGGCAGTTATTGTCCAAGCCGTGCTCCAGCAACTGTGCCAGGGCGCTGTATATCGCCATGGCCACGAAGACAAACACCATGAGCATGACCATCTCCCTGTAGCAGCGCCTGAGCGTCAGCCCCAGAGTCTGCAGGCCCAGGAAGTGTCTGGCCAGCTTCATGAGCCAGAACACTCTCATCATCCTCAGCACGCGCAGTATCACTCCAGCGACCCCGAGCCCGGCACCCGGCATCCCAGCTCCGGCCATTGCCATGGTGACATAGTAGGGGGTAATGGCAATCGCGTCGATGATGTTCAGTGGATGGCGGATGAAGTCGCACTTGTCTCTGGCCAACAGAAAGCGCACGATGCACTCAGCTGTAAACCAGCCGATGCACACTGCCTCCACTATCCTAAAGAAGGAAGATGGAGAGAGAAAGACTTCAACAATAAACAGGAAATGGAAGAGGAGCTCCAGAGAGATAACAGTACGCTTGATGTGAGATACTGCTTGACTTGGTCTGTCAGTGTGAGGCAGGAATAAGCCAAGCAAGAGGATTTAAATCATTGGAAATAAATTTAGACATACAAGTAAAGAAAAAGAGGCTGAATTAAACTCCACACAGGGAAAGAAGAAAAAGCCTTAAAGAGTGATTGTGACAAAATCAGCCACACAATTAATCCCCCAATTAACACAGCAACGGCCATTAAGCTGAATTAGAAAGCCATCCCGCTGGTATTTGACACAAACGAGATTCAAGAAAGCAAAGACCGCATGTTCCAACATTGTAGCGATTACCACAATTGAATCAAATCAAATTATGAAGCAGCTGAGAAAACTGCATCATCTTCTGGCATGAAACTGGATCCCTTTGGCCCCAAGTACGAGCTACGCTTTTAGTTGATTACCTAACCCCCTGGAAAAGCTCCAAACTCAAAGCTACATCCAGCTTGAGAGAACAAAACCTAACCTTATATAGAAAATAGATTCCTCAGGACTTCCTTCAGAGGACAGGCTGTAGCAAAAAAAAAAAAAAAACACAATGCAGAAATGGAAATGCAGGTTTTCATTTTGTGACCAAAAGAGTCACTCAGACTGAAACTGCCCTCTTGTGAGACCGCAAAAGGAAAAGGTAAGAGAAATGAGAGAGAGCTCCCTCTGTTATTAACACTTCAAGTTTAGTAGATAATATTGATTCATTATTGATTTTCTCTGAGGGGGCTTGTGTGACAGCCATGTGAGGATGCTAATGATTGATGGGGTTGTCTGAAACTCGTCAATGAGCATAATGTCCTCAGAGGCGCCAGTTTACCAAGCACCAGGATATATTTACCATGTTTCCACTAATACACTAACAACTGCTGGGTTATTTCTTTAACCCAAATGCTCAGTTTATGCTGCCAGGCAGAGGTTGGGAAGTTTAACCAAACACTGGATCAAAAATGACTCAATTCTAGATATATGAAACCTCATCGTTCTTCACAGGCCGCCATTTTGATGACCAGATCAGACTTTCCTATCGCTTCTTCCACCTGATCAAATAATGGTAACATTCTCATTTATGCATTTTAAATCTATCAATAAAGGGAAATAGTTAGCAGTAGCTAACGCTCTGTTTCACATTTTGGACGTTATTTGTTGTAATTTTCCATTATCAACTCATGCATGGAAATTTCATGACTATAATAAATAACAGTAGATTGTTTAAGAGTTATTTTGGTTGCATTAGGGAACATAATCTGTCATATTTCATAAAACTCAAGTTAATGTAAAACAAAGTTGAGAGAAAATATGTGTAATTAAATTTAATTACACATGAGATTAGAGGATTTTTCTGAGTATTTTTTCATAATTTATTAAACTGATACCATGCAGGCTTAGGTGCATGATAAATGTTTTTTTTACAGGCGTAAAATAGGTATTTGAACTGTCAGTTATGATTTGATCTGGAGATTGAAAAGATTTAAAATTCAGTCTTGTTTTCAGTCTATCTGTTATGGGAATGGTGTTTTATTTTTAATATTAGTTGTACTGAATTAGTCATAAATTGACCCAGTTTGGGAGTTTCCATCAAGATCCAGTAATAGAAATATGATCAATGTTGGATCGCTGAATGTGAGTTGTTTGTTAATAAAGGCTTTGCAAATATATGAGGGTGTCTTTTTTTCATCAAATTATTTTAAGGCAGAATCAAAATGTCTGTGTTTTTAATTGCTTTGTGTGAAGGCACGGCTTGCATGAGTTAATGCTACAGTGACTCTGTTGTTTTTATCAGATTCTGGCAGACTGGAGTTAAATTTACATTAATAACTTCGGGGATAATGCGTCTGGTATATCTGTCCATCTCTATGCTGATGACGCAGTTGTTTACCGCCATGGAAACTCCATTGCCTTAATTTGCGATCTTCTACAGGCTGCTTTTGACATTATTCAGTCACATTTGTTGCATTTCAAATTAATTCTCAATACTGACAAAACTAAAGGTATTTTGTTTTCAAACTAAAAGAGAACCTCTGCTACTCTCCCTGTTATCCTGTCTGCACAAATTTAATTTTTCTTGTTAAAAATGGATATTACTAGTTGAAAATCTGTCTTTTATGTCAAATATTGATAGTATGAGAATCAAATAAGGCTCTTTTCATAGAATTAAAGCATGTAATTTTCATTTAACATGAATAAACAACCTGTGGCAGCTGACCTTTTACCTCACATTGATTATGGTTTTATTATTTATATGAATGTTCCTGTTAGCTCCTTACAGGCTAAATGCTGAGGTTCACTACAGGATGTAAAAGCCCGGCATTGTACAGTGCATTCTCTGGTTACCTGACATTTACCATTTTATCTGACTTCCTTGGACTTCCTTGAACTGGAAAAAAATATATATATATATTTTCTTAAATTACAGCAGGATCTGAAGCTGTGCAGCTTAATTGAACTAAAGGTTTTAAACACCTTAAGGTAAATTGAGAAATCTTCAGTGGGTGGCTGTTTATGCTCTTAATGCTTTTTTGGTATTTTCTTTTATTTTATCTAAGTTTTACCTTGTCGAGACAATTGGATAGACTTTTATGACTATCAAATTGTTATGTACATATAAAGTAGATTGCTTTTAAAAATGAGGCTTCACGTTGCTGTGAGATCTACCTGTATAAAAAAGTGAAATAATAAAGAAATATGTTGCAACTTTACCTGTTTGACTACAGTGATCCCAGGATAATGTGTGAGATGACAAAGTGAAGCAAAAGGTCACGATGACAATGATTTATATTCAGTACATAAAATACAGCTTTATATTCCTGATTCTTTTCATTTGATTAGTTCTTACAACTGGAAATATTAAGTTTTTGTATCCTTTAAAATTTGCCCTTACTGTACAGTTTTCCATTCTTATTTTTCTGTTTTTATGCGTTTTTGCTTTTGTGTTAATCTGGATGCATCCATTTACCTTAAACCTGCTAATTTTACCATTCTGGGACAATAAAGGATATTTATTTCCCATCATTTTCTGTACTAATAGAGTATTTTCATCAGGTTAGTTTTTGAGCATGTTTGTCCCTCATAAAATGGCACCAGATGCAGTCTGCACTCCTTCTGCTTCACTTCACTCCATCAGCTCCTCTTCCTGGGTGATGGGTGATTATTTCTTTGATCACTACAATGGAACAGACTGTTCTGTACAAGCAAATTTTCCTGAACTCTATGATACTGTAACATTTCTCTGCAGGCAAACTTAATACAAGTGAATACATCTGAAGAAAGAATTTGATTAAAAATATCGAAATGAACTGGATCAGGGTTTCAAACTTATTTTTAAGACATTATCACATAAGATAGTTAAGTCTCAGAGCAAAAGTCTATGTAAATTTCTTACATGAGTCTGAAACTTGAGTTTTTATTTTGAGCAATAGAATTATTTTTGCAATTTTACACCAAAAAAGCTCTGTTCTTGGCATTAAAATCCATCTTACAGGTCTATTTCTACTACCCTCCATCCTGGCATTTTAACAACATACTAACTATGTTGTACATACAGAGCTTAAGTTTAGACGTAACTAAATGAAACTTAATGGTGCATGTTCAAGTTCCCTGTCTGACAAACAGGAGTTTTGTTTCCAATATGGCTGCAGTGCATACCATATGTACTGAAAGGTGATATTTATTATCACTTCTGACAGTTTGCATGTCATTAAAGAAGAGTCACACAAAGTACTGTAACATTTCTTTTTGTAATTTTGTGCTTAAGCCTGACTTTATAAAATAAAGAGAAATGTGCGGTTATCAGTTTACATTGCTAATAATAGATCCAAAAAAGGGGGCAAATCCGGTTTTTAGATTTGAATGCTCTCAAATTAGTGATATCTGAGCATATGGGTCCATCTTCCCTTCACATAAATAAGACTTTCTAAGACCTAAAATTGAGAGAAAAATACTAGTTTTCATTACTTAACAGAACCACATGAAGAACCTGCAGAGATATGTGGAAAAATACTCTGAGGAGGTTCGATTCGTCACCTTATGCCTTATGTGATGTCATGATGAGAGGGGTGTGGTGTGGAAGCCTGATAGTGGGAGTTTGTTTATCTCGATTAAACAACATTTTACCACAAAACAGCAAAACAAAGAGTGACTTGACATAGTGACAAACTATATTTAGAGTCAGTGTGGTGGATTTTACTCAATTTGAAAGATTTATTCATGAAGTGTCTCACTTTTACGCACAGGACTTAAGAGCACCATCTCATTGCGCCTCAATGTCTGACCGCATTTCACTGAGGGGAGCCCCTCAAGCACTGCAGTTTGGTCGCACACCACCGCCTACCTGTGCTCTTCCACGGTAGTCTTCTTAGCGGTATTCCAGTCCGGCAGCGTGCTGGCGCACAGCATGATCATAGAAACAATCACGAAAATCACGGACACCGAAGCCAGAAGCTGCGCCACCAGGGAAGAATTAGGGTCCTCGAAGGTTTTGCGCAACCTCTCGAGCCATTTGGTACGTCCGGTGAGCGCAATCTGTTGCACCGTCTCCTCCGGAGTCAGGCACTCATCCCCGGACAGTATGATGTCCCCCTCTGAGAGACTGTCCATCCCGATGTCGGACATCCTCTCGTCCAGGCGCTTCTGGCAGCAGGAGTCCAGGTGCGCGGTCTCCAGCCCCCAGTACAGCATCTCGGTGTAGAAGGACAGTTCGCAGACTCCGGGGACAAACCGGAGTTTGCCGGAGCGCACGTACAGCATGATGAACACGAAAGCTTGCGCGTGGCGGTCGAAGAAGAACTCGTTCCGGTCCCGGTCGTAGTCGTCGCACAATTCTAGGACCTCTTTCTCGGTCGCGCAGGCATGTAAGCGGCTGACGCGCCGGAGTGGGAAATCCCTGATCACCTCACGAGTGAAGGCGTACCGGGTTCCCCCCACATTCAACACGCATATGCTCTTCCCGAACTTCATCTTGGCGACCTGTACCCGACTAAAACTCTTCTTCACTGTCCATTCTTCCTTTCATCTCAGGAGTCAGGGCACCTGGGGGGAGCGGACGGTCTCCCCTGGCCCCCGGGGCGTGGCTCGCCTTTCCTGGAAGCGGACCTATAGGTTTGGTCCGTGTGTGGATGAAACTAAATCTCGTCTGTTTCTCCCACTGCCCGCTCCTTCTGCCTCTGTGGTCTGGATAAAACTCTCTCCACCCCACTCAAGGCGAGCCAGTCCCATCCGTGATGTCATATGCGCGCACGCAGCGAGAAACACAAACCCCCCACGGTAAAACCACAGCTTGTTGTTTTGTTTCCACACTGAAAAAGCACTGTCAGAATTTAACCAAAAACCCAGAGGTAATAGTATTGTATTTGGACAGCTTTCAATTAATGATACTGAGTGGAAATAATGTAGAAAAATGCATTTTCAATCTATTTTGAGTCAAACATACTATTTACTCAAATGTATTGTTCTGTTTCATGCTATACATGTATAGTTCTGGGCTTTTTAGCAATAAAAAAATAGGCTGTAATGGATCATTTGAAAACTTTGTTCATCTATATCTTGTACAAATCTTTAGATCATCAGTTAGACATGATAAGTCAGTCCTACTCGCTTCAGCTACCCCACCTGTTTGGGCCAATACAAAACCTTTATTTTTAATTTATTTGCTAGCTTGTTTTTTTAGTCTTTGGCTTGTGGGTTCATTCATTGCCCTGCTGCATAACATAAGTAGGCTTGACCTGAGCAAAGGTCATGAAACGATTAGTTGGACAATTGGCTTCAGGATTTTCTGGTAGAGAGCAGAATTTCTAGTTTAATCAGTTACAGCAAAGCAGTCCATGAGACGACCACCACCATGTCTGTTCTTTTTCTGAAATTTGGTGTCAGTTTTCCACAAAAGCTGCACTTTTCTCTCGTTAGTCCGCATACTTACCCAAACATTTGCTGTATGACAAATGTGACACAAGCCTTTGTGTTTCCAGCAGTGGATTTTGCCTTAGAAATTTCCATTGGATGCAATTTTTAACGGTGTCTTTTTTTTTGTCATGCATTGCTTTATATGCTGCTCTATTTTCTTTTGTGGCCTCCGGGGTGAGTCGTTAATGGGTTCTTGAAGTTAAGCTTTGGTTGGTTGGCCTCTCCTGTAGGCTTTCTTCACTGTGACATGTTTTTTTTAACTTTTGCAGATAATGACTCCCTCAGGGGTTCACTGGAATTTTACAGATGTTTTGGCAACATGTTTAGGACTGTCTAATAACCTTGTTTCTCATCTATTCCTGAATTTATTTACATAGGGGTTTTATATGTTTCTTTTTCAGCGTGAGATAGTTTTTCCTTTTAGCAGTTTCTTTATTCTTCACATTTGGCAATAAATGGACTGACTCTATATTTTTCTAGTCATGCCGATCAATCAAAGTGTTTAATACTATAGGGAAATTAGCGTTGACTATCTTGTCCAGGAGTACATCAGCAAGTGACAAGAAGAAGAGTGAATTAAATCCAAAATAAATCACTAATAAAAGCAGTGACTTCTTCTACATTGAGTTAGATTACTTTGGCAAGTTTGTTTTCCCTTAACAAATGAAATCAAAATTTTAAAACTTGTTTTATTAATTTCTTCAAGTTCTGTGTGACTGAAGTGAAATATTTGTTAATGTTTGGTTTTCATACTGTACACGCCAGACTTCCAATGCAAGTCACAGTCCTGTCACCTGCAGAAATACTCAGATGTCTCTGCAGTAGTTGGTTTTATCAAAGACGGTGAGTACAGAGAGCTGGTGGATCGCTTTGTGTCATGGTGGGAAAACAACCATGTTATCTTTAGATAATTATAGATTTTAAGAAATACAGCATGATGAAAACCACTTTTTATTCACTGGAGAAAATGTAGAGGTGGTTGAGGAATATAAATATCTCAGCGTTCTCTTGGACAGACTGAACTAGAGATGCAACATTGAAGCCGACAGAGCAGACTTTACTTCTTCAAGAAGTTTAAGCACTTCACTGTTTGCAGTAAGGTGCAAAATGACTGTTGTGTAGAGCGTAATCTCTTTTTCCATCATCTGTTTGGCTAGCACCAAAAAAGGCTAAACAACCTGATTAAGAAGGCTGGTTTCTTTCTGGATACTACTGGAATTACTAGATAATAGTGCAAAGAATGATTCTTCATAAAATAATAATAATAATAATAAAATAAAAAAATATGGGCAACCCTGAGCATCTTCTTTTTGAAACTGCTTCACAACAACAGTGTCTTCAGTCAGAGGCTCCCTCAGAATCGCTGTAATACTGACCACTAGAGGAGATCCTTACTGCACACAGCCATCAGCATCTACAATAACTTTTAAAAGAATCTTCAATAATATGAGTCACAACAACATTTAATGCCTATTTTGGAATCAATAAAGTATTTTTAAATTTTATTTAATTTTAAACATTTAAGTGTGTCAAAATGCAAATACAGAGCGTATCTTTAATACTTCTCAATGTTTTTATCTGTAAAAAAAAAACAACTTTTATTCATACCAGGTCATTTTACGGCTACTTTTTGTTGATCTATCTTATAAAACGCCAATAAAAGACATATTACTTCGTTGTTTCGACGTGCCTGTGTTTGCGCCTGCGCAGCCCCCTCCGCCGCCTCCGAACAGTGAGTGGTTTTTCGGGTTCATCCGACTTCTGTCGGCCGCTCTGAGTTTACTGTATTGTAATAAGCTACTGCTGCGAATCGGTAGAGGAGGAGTAGGAGGAGGAAGGGGGGTCTGAGTAGCCAAATTTCTCCCCTGATAGTGAACACATCCGGAGTCCCGACGATCGTAATTTAAAAATCACGTTGTCTTTTTAGAAAACAGAGTTTTAGATGTATATATTTTAAAATTAATTTATGTCAATTCGATTAGTTTATGCTTTACGTTAACACGCTGGGAGGGCAGAAATGGCGGCCAACATGTACCGGGTCGGAGGTATGTATGTTAGTGGATCCTTTTTTAAAAAAAAAAAATCAAACAGAAACAACTAAGTTCTGGATCTCCTTTGTGTTATTTGGTGATATGTTAGTGATTGTGCGTGTATTGGTGAGATGCGGTTGAGCTGCATGTTTAGATGTGAGTGAGGCTGGAGCCGGAAGGTGAGCTTTTCTTAATATTTGGGATCCAAAATGGGTCAGGCCTCTCAGCAGCTAGCCGCCAGCTCGCTAACTGGCTACCTGGTAATGTAAACATTTTTTTTCAGCTGTCGGCACTGTTAGCCGCTACAGTGGTTGCTAAATGCTTTCACGGTGGACGTGGAAGAGCCACCAGCTGTGTTAGCCCACGGCTGGAGGTGTATTTAATCGGCTTGTGAAATTTCATTTCGGTCAGTCTGAGGCTGCCTTTGTATTTGCCTCTTCTGGCATGCAGCCATTAGTCTACGAGTCCTTATTTAGCTAACGTTAGCACAAGCCGCGGCTCACCGTCCTCTTCCTCCTTGTATTATCTCTGCATTGTAATTGGACGACCATCTTTGTGACATTAAAACCTTCTTTCCCCCGTAGCGCTTAACATTACACACACATTGACTTATAGTGTGGTTAGTGATCAAGTCGGTCTGCTTGGTCGACCAGCTAGCTCGTTAGCACTCTGCTGGAATTCAGCATCAAATTATTGTCTTCATGGCGTCGGTGCGTCTGCTGGGCTGAACCCTTACACCTTCATTTGCTCTTACTCAACCTTTCCTTTACCTCAAAATGGAAAGTTATCCTAAATGCCTTGATGCATCATTTGTTTGTTGCAGCGTAAACTATATATTTTGCCATTCTGGCAACCACTTCCACATCACAATGTATCTTATCTTCATTTCTGATGCCTTCAGGTGCTCTTTGTTAACTCCACGTTGCATTCAAGTCCTCTCCTGCGTAATACACAGAGCATGTGCATCTCACTAAACCATCACATGCATTTATATGAATTATGCATTTCAAAAATTGAAACACATTTATTATATAAATGCATTTCACAGAGGGTAATAATGGGTTAAGGGTTGAATTCTGTTTAATTTTTGATGATTAAAGGGTTTGAAATTCAAATGTACATTTATATTAAATGTTGTCGTAACTCAACCAAGTATCTTTAATTAGTTGTTGTTGATGGTGATGCTGTGGGCAGGAAGGATCTACAGTAGCAGTCAGTCTTGCATTGAATCTGAAGAACCTTCTGACCAAATCTGTTGTTTATGCTTTATGACATGCTAACAGCTCAATTTCCAGGCCGCAGAGATGATATTACACAGTAGGATGTCCTGGTTGACAACATCAGTTGTTGGAAAGCGCTGCTAATCCATCTCACTTGCTTTTGCCACTCTTCTTTAAATCTGTCTGGCTGTACGGTCAGAAAGCCGGACAGAAACGTAGGAGATCCTTTCCCCATTAGGGGGAAAGTGATGGCTTGAACCTCTTCCTTGTTTCTCTGTTCTGCATCACCTTTTCAACTTCTTTGGGATTTATTGTCATAGTTCAGATATCATTTGAGCTTTTGGGACGCTAATTAGCTGCTCCAAGTTGTGAAAACAATACCTTATTGCCATGGTTATGCATCGATAATTGTCTAAAAGTCAAAAAGTAAGAAGAAAGATCCTTCCAGCTGCACAGCATCCAAAACCAACATCCAACTAAAAAAATCTAGTCACTCCAGCATCGCTCCTGAATCAGAGACAAGAGTCAGTAGCACCTTACTTAGGCTAAGCAGAAAATAGGCTGGATTGTCGTCTAAATCTCTATTTTTAGATGGAATTAAATTTCATTTTGAAATTTGACTTTTGAGGAAGGGTAACAGAAATAACTTATGACAGAAACCGCCATTTTAAACCAACTCCAGTCTCAGAAATATCACCTTTTGTTTAAAAAAAGGAAGCTTTAAGCAGCCGTCATGTTTCTATTGAAACCTTATTTACATAATCATCAGTTTTTATTCACAAGGAAAGCGGTAGTAGGTCTGTAACAGTGACAATCACATGTGAACTGTCTGCTGCTAATCATGTCAGAAGCATCTTGGATTTTGAGTGTGAAAATGACTAATGATGCTTTTTCACTACCGTAATATTTAAATTTATTTAAGTTGCTTCCTTGCAGAAGCTTTCAGACCTTTGGCACATTTTGTCAACTTGCAGACATAATCTTCAAGATTTTATTTTAAGAGTATATTTGACAGATCAACACACAGTAATGCATAATTCTGAAGTAAAACAAAAACAATACTTTTTTTAGAAATATAAATTATGACTTCATAGAGCCACTTTATACTCCAGTTGCAGCTGCAAGTCTCTTTTGCATGTTATATACAGAACATTTTGGTAGTTCTTCCTTGAATACTAACTCAAACTCAGTCAGATTGGATGGAGAGGATTTCTGAAAATCAGTTTTCAAGTCTTACTACAGATCAGATAGATGCCTGTCTGGACTTTGACTAGGTCACTGTAATACATAAACAAGCTTTGATATAAACTTTTCCATTGTGGTTCTCATAGTCTGACTGTTCAATTAGATGTTTTTGGAAAATGTTGATTTAGGTCTGCATGAACAATAGAGAACGGGTAAAAGGAAGGATAATTAATGTGAAATTGGCTAAAGTTTTGAAAGGTTACGGGATCTCTACACCCATAGTCCAACTTTTCTGGTAACTGTCTCAGAGCTACAAATCATGCTCTACGGTATTTCATAAATTTGCTTTCGGGAATTTTATTTTGGTTGTAATTCACTGGGAGTCATTTTCGTTACATCCTTACAAATAGAAATGTTCCTACAGTTGAAGTTGGATTTGTTTTGTCATAAGTGTGTTTATTTTGGCTATGATGTTCTGATGACCTCTTGTTTGGCGTTGCAGATTACGTCTTCTTTGAAAATTCCTCCAGTAACCCTTACCTGATCCGTCGGATAGAAGAACTCAACAAGGTAACTGCATTGTTTGTCATTTTTGTGCCGAAGGGGGAATTTGCAGGATTCCTGCCTGCAACCTCCACCTATTGCCCCTATGTCTATGTGCGCTCTGGTATTTCAAGTGTTAATTGTTTGACTGAAATTGACAGGTGTTCCTTTGTCTCCCAACTGTCGTTTTTTTTATTTTTTGTTCCTGGACACACCTGTAAGGGCGTGTGCGCTTGTTGACGTAATAATACCTGTAATAAAGGCTTTTAAAGCCCACGTATTTGTGCTTAGCATGCACGGTTAGCTAGAATCTGATACCAGCTTTTACCTGGAATAAATCTGCAACATGATCTGATGCTGTTCCAGCTTGGTCACGTGTACAGGTTCCTCTTTTAGCATGTCTGCAAGGAGTGTGTCAGTTAAGCCAACACAAAGCAGACCAAAAAGTTGCATTGTTAATATAGACTTGCTTGCATGGAGTTGTATACTTAAATTGGAAACAAATATTTAGTGAAAAAATGACAAAAAAGGTTTTATTTATTTTTAAAAATGTATTAATGTAATGGAGACAAAACGGGGAATTGCTGCATCAGACTTTTTGTTCGCCACACAATCAAGGAATTTGACTTTGGCTGCACTTTGCTCTCAGTGGAGACATTCAGTGTAATATTACTGCTTTGCAGAGAAAAAGCAGCTTATACGTCGCTTATCTTCGTTGTTTGCTAAATAATCTTGAGATAGTGAGGGGTGAGTAACATGACTTCTGCTGTTGTATTGCTTCACTATATATTTCTTATTTTCTAATCAAAAACACACCTGGTCTGATCTGCTGATTGCAAACAAGTATGCACCTTTTTTGATTAAAATATGACCAAAAAGTGAAATTGGTGGATTATATAAGTTCATTACACACACACACACACACACACACACACACACACACACACACACACACACACACATCAATTTCAAAGATTTACACAACTCAAAAGAAACTTTCTGAGCTGATCATTATACACATTTAATAATTGGTTGGGGCTCCTTTTGTATTTCATAGAGGTGATGAACCTTCAACTTGTCTGCAGTGTTTGCTTCCTCTGAACAATACGCCATGAATTTTCCATATGTGGTTTTGGTTTGGTTAGTTTACTAGTCGATCAAACGCAGTGATTTGATCATTATTAATGAAAATAATAATTGTACTTTTGGGAACGGGGGCAGATGAGGAGTAAATAAAATCATCTCAATAAAGAAACATGAAGTGGGTCAAACAGATATGTCTGTAATATGTGGAAAAAATGTTTCCGTCATTCTCGCTTATTGAGAACTGAAATATCACATAAATCTGACCTGAATAATATATAAAGCCACGTTTACTGAATCATCCTCAAACTCTTCAGTGTGCTTTGCATTTGCAATCCTCTCAAAATTGTGGCTCTCCCTGTTGATTTTGCACAATTTGTCTTCCACGAAACTTTCCATTGTTATGCTTAAAGCACTTTGATCAGAATGCAGTTTCAGCAGTGACCTTTTTGTGGCTTGATCTCGTCAGGGAGGGTTCCAGTGATTACTATCGACTCAGCAGCGCACCGCATGATGGTGTAGACCACTAGTGTCAAACTCAAGGCCCAGGGGCCAAATCTGGCCTGCTGTCGCCTTTTATGTGGCCCTCTAACCTCCAAATTACATCAACAAGTTCGTCCAATTTTTCACAAATCCGGAAAATTCACACAAAATCAACAGAGCCCCAGATTTTTTCTGATTTTACTGAATTTTTTTTTCCTCAAAATTGGCCAGAAATATTGGGTTTAAGGGACAGCTGCCTCAGCCTTACTTGATGTCAAGTTATAATCCGTGACCAACAGGGTAATTAATAAAGTAAATTTTAGCATCATACAAATATTGTAAAAATTCCTTACAAATATTTCTAAACTAACCCCACACAATCTGTGATTTTGATTGCAAAAAAAAAAAAAAAAAAAAAATTACGAAGTCCTGGTTGGACTGATCAGTGTGAAAAGATATTACACTTATTGAATGCTGAAACAAACAGTTATGTATTGATATTTTAACAATTTAATTGGTTTTATCTATACATTCTAGTCCAAACGGCCCTTTAAGAATATTCAGATTTTGTTGAAAACCTTTTGATGAAGCAGACAATCTGAATGAGGCTGCAGCTTTCCTAGTTTCATATATTTGCTACATTTCTTCCTTTCTCTGCACTTCTTCTTGTCCAGCTAAAAATGAAAAAGGCGTCTAGCTTTGTAAAACCATTTAAAAAAAACACCCTTTCCTTACTTTGTTGGTCTCATTTTGCACTAATAATTTTATTTAAAAAAACTAAACTGACTTTAAGATCTTATCAGTAAAATCAGTGGTTTAAATTGTGTCAAACTCAAGGCCTGTGGGCCATATCCGGCCCGCCATAAGTTTTTATGTGGCCCTCCAAGTTCTAGATGAAACCCTAAATGTGCTTAAGTATTACTTTATCTATCAAATCAGTTCAGTTTTTATGTTTACTGCCAAATTATATCAATCAATACGTCCTGTTTCTTGAGAATTATCATGGAAATTCACACAAAATCAACGAGTCGCTCCACTTTTTTGCACTAATATTGGTAGTTTATAGCAGATTTTCCACAAAAATTGTCAAAAAGTTTCTTACTTGTACTAAACAGATGCCTCAGCCTTAATGTCAGATTATAGTCCACAATCTAAACAGCGAGTAATAAAAAGTCACATTTACAGACATAAAAAAGCAGAAATATTTCCAAATTAGTACCACAAACACTTTGATTTTTATCGCAAAAAAATCACAAAACAATTGTAAAATCCTGGACGGACTAAAACGATGTTCAATATTATTTAATTTTAAGGATTTATTAACAGTTTATGAACAGGTTTTACCAATACATTCTGGCACAACCGGCCCTTTAAGAGCATTCATGATCATATTTGGCCCAAAACGAAAATGAGTTTGACACCCCTGAGTTAATGAATCAGTTATTTCTGAGTCTATATGCCAACTTCATCTAATGAGTTGAATAACTGAAATAAATCACTTTTTGTCTATTATTAAGATGCACCTGTTCTCCCACATTAAATCACTCAGCATCAGTTTTGCCATTTAATACTTGTCAGTCCACCCGTTGGACTAATTGTACAACGTGACAATAAATCAATCAGCTTTTCTTTTTTTTTTTCTTTTTTTAAACCGTTACTGTTCTCTCCAGCTTGTCTCAACTTGACGGATGCACAAAGGAGATGGTTCTTCTGGGAAATTGGAGTCGTGTAGATGGGCTTGTTTGCTGCATTTCTTCATGCCAACCTTGATCCTCATTCTCTCTTATTTCAGACCGCCAGTGGGAATGTCGAGGCCAAGGTGGTTTGTTTCTACAGAAGGAGAGACATCTCTCACAGCCTCATCCAGCTCGCGGATAAGCACGCAAGTGAGTCGCTGGCTCAGACCATTTTCAGTTACAGCTGAAGTTTGTGTTTGGAGAAGTGCATGGATATAAACTGCAGAGGAAAAACTGGATGTTGTGTATTAATGTTAATGGTGGCGCGACTGAATGGCAGCCTCTCTTTTTGTCAGTTTGCCTCAGGGCAGCTGTGGCTACATTGTAGCTTACCACTATCACACCACTAGTGTATGAATGGGTGAATGTGTATGTAGCGTGAAGCACTTTGTAGTTCCTGTATTTGAAAAGCACTACACAGGATTTCCTCTACATGTAACTGATCACACCGTGGCAAAATAAAAGCCACCACACCTTCAGAATAAAAGCTCTTTAGAACATTTTTTTATATTTTAGGACGATGTAAAGCATATACATTACATATCCTAGATTTTCTTACACTCACCATAATCAGAGTTTGAAATGAATTTAAACATCATGAAAGGTTAAAATGTGCTTTATTTTGAAAAACAAACACTTCCAGCTTGAAACTGTGTGCTGCTCTCAGGAGTGAAGGAAAACTGAATACCTGTCTGAAGTAGGGGGAGAGAAAAGGTGAAAGAAATTTAAGGAAGGTTAAGTTTAATTCATTTTTAGTTTCTTAGTGTTACATTTGAACCACAGTTAATATAGTTTGGCCTTCCTTCATAATGTTTCGAATACGGTTTTGAAATCTTTCTGATTTTGGTATTTAATCAGCAGCATCGTGTCTAAATACACAAATAGCTTCACAAACTGGGTCTAACATGTAAAAACAACATTAATTTGTTCAGTCAGAGCAAAGCAGTGGAAAATAAATAATAAAGAAGCTGACAAAAACAATAAGTTGACTGCTGTGGTCAAATATGTAAAATAAACTGCAACAAACCTTCTGTCAAATGGTTCAGAAGGGGCAATTAGGAAGTATAAATATGATGTAAAATAAATAATAAAGCATGATGTCACGGAGAGCACAAAGTACAGAATTAGACTGCATAGATCTGCCACATTGTCACAGATACGTCTAGATTTTCTTTTCAATATCGGGACTGATCCAGATATTACTATCAAATTGTTGCATCATCGCTATTTATTTTACAATACCTCTCAAAAAAATTTTTAAAATAATAAAAATAAATACAATATTTTGTATAAATAAGACAATATCTTTTCAAAAATTGCAGCTTTCTCCAGAATCTCCAAGTAAAGTAAAATCCTCCAAATCATAAGCCGAAGACAATTATACAAATAAGACAAGAATTACAACATCTTATTTACAATGCAGATTATAGCTCCATACCTTAACATATCACACAATATATTTATTTTTCTTTAAGAAAAGTTAGAAAAATAAACTTTAGCACCACATAATTCAATATTTGAGAATAAATATCAGATTAACTTATGTTAACGACACAGGAGCCTTTTGAGCCTGATAAATTTTTAAATATTTCTATTAGATTTTGGCTCATCCATTCTGTATGAGAGCAGTTGGCATTACACAGCTCTGCAGTTACACAAAATTCCACTAATATTCCATATTTATGATCTTTAACTTATGTTAACATTCAGTGTTTGCAGTTCCTGCCTGTATTTTCTGTTGGTTTATAAATCTTTACTGAGATTTTCAGAAGGCTGACAACATAGAAGGCTCCACGGATCAAACTATACGTCTGTAATATGTGGAGCGTTCTTAGAAAATAAGGCTTACTTTGAAACAGCTTTTTGCATCTCTCTGCTTCCTCCAACTTCATTTTTTAGAGATCTCCCTGAAGCAGCTGCAGCCCCTTTACTCAGAACATTGTGTTCAAGCTCCATCATGGAGGAAATGGAAAATTCTGCAATGAGCTCACAAACTGGTTTGATTCCTTTTGTTCCTGAAACCAGAGCAAAAAGAAAATCAGGCTTGATGCATAACTCACTTGTTCTTAATCTTAAAGTGGCAAACCTGCATTCAGGACTGAGAATCTGAGACTTTTGGTAGTTTGAACTTGATAAAGGACTTTGATGATTGTCAGTAGATCACAAAAATGTTTTACAGCCATCATAAAAGTGCATTGTTTTCATTAGTGTTGAACAAATCCACTGGAAAGTAATTTAAGCCGTTTCTGGATTGTAGTTTGAGCATTTTGCGCTCATCTGCTGCTGTTGTCTTTCTGTGTTGACTCAGCTGCTCCAAACCAGCAAATCCAGTATTCATGGATGGATCCCGCTCTTCAGGTCTCATTTTAGGTTTGTCTGAAGGGCTGGCTTGAAAATAAAATCTACTTTTTTTTCCCGTACTTGGATTCAGTTTCTGATTTTAACCGTTTTTTCCTCTTTTTTTCTAAAAAAAAAAAACAAAAACTGCAAATGTTAGAAAGTATTTTCAAAAATTGGCTTTTATTTTAATCATCCGTTATGTGAGTTGTATGACTTAATATTAGGGCCAGGCTTTACTAGAATATAATATAGTCATAATATCAGCAGAATAAAGATGCAATTGCACAAGAAGACTGTCTTAAACTTACTAGAAAAAATTCATTTTAATTAGAAAAAAGTTTGAATAATTTGTTGTTTTTTGTGTTGGCATTCCCATAAAATTGCTACTTCATTCTCCAAATATTGCGACTTTATTATGGTAATATTAGGACTTTATTCCTGTATTACACTCATTGTATTCTTGTAACATCATGAATTTATTAAAAAAATAATAATAATAAAATAAAATCTTATCCTGATCCTAATATTCTGTCAGAGCTGACTTGAATTCAAAGTCCAAATAACTTGAAGCTGTGAAACGGATGGTGGATTTTGGGCAAACCGACATCATTCTGATCTGAACCCAAAGAGTTAATTGGCGAACATAAAAAGTCAGATTTTCCACAAATTAAATCTTCAAAAACCAAAAATTTGCCCGTTCTTAATCTTACATAAATTCCATTGAAAGTTTTCGATTTTGAAGCACTTTTATCATTCAACAAAACAAAATTAACCCCTTAGACTTCCCCCTCCTCCTGCTTGTTTCTTCGGTGGGTTTATTCTGACTTGGCCTCTTCTCTTTGTGCCTTTTGCAGAGGAGTTGGAAGAAGAGAAGGAGAACCCAACAGAGACCGAGCTCACAGACAAACAGAAACACCAGCTTCGTCACAGAGAGCTCTTCCTCTCCCGACAGTATGAGAGTCTACCTGCGACACACATTAGGTACTGAAACACAAGCCTCACACACCCATGCAGACTGTTCTCTGTGCCACGCCGCTCGTCATCTGCAGGCAGCGCACGTGGACAAGTCATTCAGCCACAGATGCATTACAGGCACAGGCCACTTCCTTTGAATATGTTTTACATGGTGCGTGCTTCCCTTCCTCCCTCTCCATCAGGGGGAAGTGCAGCGTCGCTTTATTGAACGAGACGGAAGCCGTTCTTTCATACCTTGACAAAGAGGTAAGCCTGAGGGTGGGGGAAACCAGATCTGCTACCACCGCTTGATCTTTTATCTGAACATCTTGGAATAATGCACCACACTTATCTTTTTTCCTAATTTTAGATTCCTTTTAAACTCATTTATTTGACTTCTATCTTGGTTTAGCTTCACAAAATGAAAAGCTGAAATAAACCTGAAAAGGTTTGATCTCATTTAGGGTGTTTTCACGGAAGACTCTGTTCGATAATTATAGTTTTCAGACGTTGTTCACATTTGGATTTACTCCGTCTGGCTTCTGCCGGTGCAGAATCATAACTCAGAAAACAATCGGATACGTATCTGACTTAGTAACACATATAAAATGATGCAAATCAGATTTTTTTCTCCATGAAAAGATCAGAATTGGGTGGTTCAGACTGGCATTTGAGTCGCATTCAGCTGCTGTGTGAATGAGCTTTAGTCTGTTTGGATTCTGGTCTGCATAGATTACAATTTTAATTCATAACCTACTGCTACATATCGTTATAAACTAGATGTAAAATCCCCTAATGAACCAGTTAGTTGTTTATAATCATATTTTATTCAACATTACCAGATCGTTCAGGCAGAACTTACAACCAAGAAAGTCTGAACTACTTAGTTCAGTTTGCTAAATGAATAAATTGCTAAAACATTCTCGCCTGACAATTTATCAGTTGCTTTTAAATGTAGCCACTCTTTTCTTGCAGAAAGGTGTTGATTTTTCTTTATTTTTTTCCCACATTGCCTGGCTCTATATTGATTGTGTAGCTTCGTGGATTTGACAGAAGAGAGCAGTCATATCCAGTGACGTCTTTCTGCTTCTCTTCAGGACACTTTCTTCTACTCGCTGGTGTACGACCCGACTCAGAAGACCCTGCTGGCCGACAAGGGAGAGATCCGAGTGGGGCCGCGCTTTCAGGCAGACGTACCTGAAATGTTGCAGGAGGGTGCGTCGCAGTTTATTGTTTAAGATTCGCTTGAACATTTTGGCCGATTATTTTCCCTTTCTTGGTTTCTCTGAAGTAATCGTGCTCCAGTTCGCTCTGTAAGAGGCTTCCTTTGTGTTGCAGGAGAGGCAGATGACAGGGACCAGTCCAAACTGGAAGAGAAGCTCTGGGATCCAGAGTGTCCTCTGACCGACAAACAGATAGACCAGTTCCTAGTGGTGGCGCGGTAGGTCACCTTTCTGCTCGGTTTGCTGCCTCATGGTCACATAAACCCAATCTGCTGTCAGAAAGATCATAAATCCTGGCTGAACTAAGTTGTTCAGCTGTGTCTTATGTATAATGTTTATTTTCTCATTTAATTTAAACTTTTATAGAACAAATGTGGTTCTAACTATAGTCTGTTTTACAAAAAGCATGTTTCTGGATGAATAGTGTTTAGAGTTGAGTAGTAACTAGTTACATTTACTTGGGGAAAAAAAAGTACTTTTGGGAGTATTTTTACTACACTGTTCTTTTTACTTGAGTAATTTTATTATAAAGTATTGCTACTATTACAAAGTAAGTTTTGGGTGAAGTTACCCACTGTGAGTAATTTTATTGAATGAAGAACAAACCAAACATTCACCAGACACAGACCTGCAGTTTTTAGGTTTTATATCGAAATAAATTAACTTGGAAAAAATTTTCTTTTGCCTGATTTTGTAATTATGTTATTTATGTGAATTATTTTCATTTTGGTCCTTTAAAAATTTTTTTACTTTTTACTCTTCCTGGAGTAAGTTCTTGGCTACTTTTTCCTTGAGTAAAAATTCATCATCAAAGTAGTGGTTCTCTTATTTGTGTGCATGTTTTGCGTATTTATAGTGAAGTTGGGGAAAACTCCACCTGTTCGCTTTTATTTCACGGGTTTCTTGTTTGTCATTGGGTTTTTTCAGAGCGGTCGGGACGTTTGCCCGAGCGCTGGACTGCAGCAGCTCAGTTCGACAACCAAGCTTGCACATGAGCGCAGCTGCAGCTTCTCGAGACATCACACTGGTGAGTCGGGCACGCTTTCTTTCTGGAAACGACCCACCATTTTCACTCTATAAATGCTTCAGTCAACAAGATGCATTTCTAAGCACTTTGAGTTCACTCGTAATCAGATTAACATATCTGGGATGAATGTTTGGATGATATAAATGCTTAAGTTTCTGTTGCGTTCAATATTAGCGTCTCTATTTAGGAACCTGCAGGATGCTTTAAGTGTCTTAATGTTTTAGAAGAAGCTCTAAATGGTGCTTCCGTTTCTTTCACGCTGCTGCTTTCTAAGTAGGATTTCATCGTAACCCTCGTTCTCTCTTAGTTCCACGCGATGGACACGCTGCACCGCCATAACTACGACCTGTCCAGCGCTCTGAGCGTTCTGGTCCCGGCAGGCGGCCCGGTGCTCTGCAGGGATGAGATGGAGGAGTGGAGCGCCTCGGAAGCGGCCATGTTTGAAGAGGCTTTAGAGAAATATGGGAAAGACTTCAACGACATCCGACAAGACTTTGTAGGTGTTTGGTTCGTTTTCTTACTGAATTGCGACTTTGGTGTTAATTTTGTGCGAGTTTAAAAGTTGATCTGCTGTGAGAAACTTCAAAACTTTCGCTGATTTTAAGTGGAGCACAGACTAAGTTTTATTAGGGCTACAGCTAACAAATAATTATTATGATGATTAGACAATTAATCTGATAAATCTTATATCTTTTTTTATTACATTATTAGAAATAACATCAAACATGAAAATAAACATTTTATTGCCGTAAAATGCATTGGAAGCTTTCATTTAGTGCATGCTTGATCATTTGTAGCAAAGGATGCATCTGCAGCTAAAAATACTTCGAAAAGCTCATCTGTTTCTGCTTGATTTAACATGTCTGACTTTTTTTGTCTTTATTGATTAATAAATGGATGCAGAAGGTTCTTATTTGAGGATTTTTAACAGAATTTGAACCAGAGGAATATAAAACTATGACAAGATAAAGGTGTTGTTTTTTTTTTTTTATCTTAAATGCAAAACATCTATATCTTTTGTACATTTTTGGATTGAAAGAGTATGTTGTTCTTTCAGCAAGTAGCCATTTTTTGAGTTTGTATTCTCTAATTACTAAATCAGTTGACGGTTATTTTAATAATCGATTCATCATGAATAATTTGATTAATTGTTTCATCCCTAAATTTTCTGAATGTGAAAATTTTGCAGTTTTCCTTCTCAATCCTCATCTGGACAACTCTGTCATTTTCTAATCTCTCTCTAATTGAACTTCAACAATACAACCAGGATTCAGTTGAATTAGTGCAGCTGCAGCAGGTGCTCATGAATACGTATTAAGCATGTGAATCACTGCGCGTGTCGTCATGTGCTGCCAGTAGCGAGCGAAGTCAGTCGCTCCCAGCCTTTGTGGTCACGACGTCTCATGAATAAACATGAACGCTCTGCGCCCAGACGGCAGGAACATGAGGTATTAATATCATTAATCTGCTCTCCGTCTCCCTCTCCTCCTGCGTCGTGAAGCTGCCGTGGAAGTCCCTGACCAGCATCATAGAGTACTACTACATGTGGAAGACCACAGACAGATATGTGCAACAGGTGAGGCTGCTGCCCTGATTTTTTTTTTTTTTTTTTTTTTTTTTTGGAGATATTCAGCTTCTCTGTGTTAATTAGCTCAGAGCTGCTGTGTGAAATTACAGATTATGTTTACCGTGTTCATGCAAGACCAAAAACAATCAGGACCAAATGAATAAAAACTCCACAGGGAGCCTTTTAAGCAGCTTATAATGAACTGAAAACAAACTTTCTCCCTGCAGCCGAGCCGTTTGTGCCACACGAAGGCTTTACATTTACGCTCGTCATCTTCTTTCCCTTACAGAGTGTCTCAACAAAAATTCTCCAAATGTAGTTTCTCACCCTCAGGGAGGGATTATTGATTTGAGTTCAACTTTGAAAACTTCGGCTCTAACTTTTCAAACTAAGTTATGGCTCGTATTAAACTTTGCAAGCCAGTAAAACTGCATTTGAAAGTCTGAAGGGTAGAAATTTGGTCTAAAATTTGATGTCTGCGACTTTGGAAAGCCATAAATGTAAAACATGAGCTTCTACCCAGTCTGGAAAAGTTTTCTATTGTCTTATTGCTTACATTTGTAATTCTGTATCTTTAATTTCTCACAGATTTCGAGGTATTGAGTGAGAACTCACAGAAAACAGAAGAACTTTTTTAGGCATTTTGAAAAAGCAAATTTAGGATGATAGTGTATTGGTTTCTGTTTAGAGCGACTTGTTGTTTTTGATTTCCTGTTGAATAAATTCACTCTGTGTTTCCACGAGCAGAAAAGGCTGAAGGCAGCCGAGGCAGAAAGCAAGCTGAAGCAGGTTTATATCCCCACGTAGTGAGTTTCCTTCCTTTGCTCTTCAAATTAAAATGCGAAGTTAAAAGTTTTTCATATTTTGTGTGTAATGAAAGTGCAGTGTTTTCACATCGCTCTTCATCTCGACAGCAACAAACCCAACCCCAACCAGATCTCGATGACCAACGGTAAGATGGCGACTGTGAACGGAGCGGGCCCCGGGGCCTTCCATGCAGCGGGAGGCGGCCGAGCCTGCGAGAGCTGCTACAGTAAGTTTGGTTTGTCCACATGAATCCAGAACAAAACGCCAAGAAATGTTTAAAGTTTTCCGCTGGGCGACAGAATGTTTGATGACAATGTGTTTGGCTTAAAAGGGAAAGTCCTGAATTCAGATAGTTTCCATAGAAAGTTTTTATTTATTAGTTATTTTTGGGAAAATTAAGATTTTTTTTTTTTTTACATATAAGATAAATATTTAACATCTTAAGTTGTTTTATAAAGAATCTGTAGTTAGTGGAATATTTTCTCTATTCATCAATTAAGGTTAAGAAAACTGATACATTCTACTGATTTTTCATTTAAACACTTAAGTGTATTTTATGCAATACTGTACATACATAGAAATACAAATAACTCAATTCTTTTTAAATAAAATAATCATTTTTGCATAAATTGAATATTTTAATGTGTTTCTAATACTTTATAAAATAAGTTTAAGTGGCTAAATGAAAAATCTGTAAAATGCACCAATTTTTTTTGTATCCAATTAATCACCAAAATAATTAATTACTGAAATAATCATTAGTTGCAGCCCTAATTGGCAGCTGTTCAGAATGGTGCATGCAAGAATATTAACTGAAAGTTGAGTGAAAAAGGCTGGCAGCTGTTGGCTCTAATGTTAAAAGTTACCAAAAATAAATGCTTAAAATATCGGTCTGTGAGTGGTTAATCTAGACTACATGTCTATTTTTATTTGAGTTATTGACTTACATTAACTTTTTGATAATTTACTGACCTCTATGCTACAGTAAAATGAACGGACAGAGGAAATGCATTTGTGCTTAAAACCAGTTTATGTTTTGTCCTGCCAGCTGTGTGAACAGCGTTTCAGATGTTTACTAATGGAGTTCAAATAACAGCTGAATTATTGAAAGCACTGTGGACAGGTGTCGATTCTTCCAGTGCGCTCCGCTAACAGGATTTATTGCGTTTTGTGCGTTGAGCAGCCATGCAGTCGGCCCAGTGGTACTCCTGGGGGCCTCCCAACATGCAGTGCCGCCTGTGCGTTTCCTGCTGGATGTACTGGAAGAAGTACGGCGGTCTGAAGATGCCGAGCAGAGCCGAGGCCCCAGAGGAGAGGACCTCCCCCACTCCTGCAAGCAATGTAAGTTCAAGACCTTGTGTTACAAACTGGAGGTCCGCTGGCCACATCTGGCCCGCCAAAACCTTTAACATGGCCCTCGAGGCTCCAGAGGGACGCATAAGTGGAAGCAAATCAAAGCAGTTTTTATTGGTTTTTCTGCCAAGTTTCAGAAAATCGATTGAGATTGTGCTAATTCTCACAAACTCAGCAGACCCTCGCATTTTTTCCACACTAGTACATAATCGTAAGTTTATTGCAAATTCGGCTGCAACTAATGATTGTTTTAGTAATTATTGATTATTCTGATGATTAATTGGATAAAATAGATGGTACATTCTAAAGAGCTTTAATTTAAGCCCTTCTTTATACAATATACATTGAAAGATGCAAATGAATGAACAAATTTTAAAAGATAAAATACATATTTATTGCCTAAAAGGCAAAATCATTCCTAATTATGAAATCCAAACTGCATGAAGCTAAAGTTTTGCTAAAAAGTGTTTTTGTCTTGAATGCAAAATGTTAATATTTTTTGTAGTTTTAGCTTAATTACTGCTCTGAATTTCTTTCTTTCAGCAAATGACCTTTTTTTTTTTAAACCGTATACTCCAGTTAACGATTAATCTATTACATGATTAGTTGACAATTATTTTAATAATCGATTAATCACTATTAAGCCAATTTAGAAATTTCAGCCCTACAGTAAATTTTCCAAAATAGTTAAAAACATCAGGTTTAAGTGACTGCTAACTCCCACCTGCAGGTGGCAGTATTTCATACTCCCCTTTACTTCATCTCAAATATGAATAATCAATACGGCAAGTAACTGAAAGTCACATTTACCGTCATACATAAGCGCAAGTATAGCAAAATTTCTTGCAAGTATTTCTAATTTAGCACCACAAAATCAGTCATTGTGATTACAAAAAAATGACAAAAACAATGTTCAATATTATTTAATTTTAAGATGTATCAAATGCAGACAGCGCTTTTTATTAATATTTTTACAGCTTTTTTAAGGTGTTTTTATGTTATACATTCCAAGGTTTCCCCCCAGAAAGCTTGCTTAGCTCAGTGGTTGGGCAGTTGGCAGTCATTCATCCAGCGGCCCGTCGTGTTTTTGAGTTAAAAATTGTTTAAAGTTGACAGGAAGTTTGAAAACATCACTTAATAATCATGTGTTATTGAAAGATTGGAAGATTAATACCTGAACACTAAGTATGAAGTCTTTAAAAATGCAAACACCTTTAAAAGACTTAAATAAATAAGCAGTGCTTAGCCTGGTGGGGGCACAAGTAAAGCCTGGTGGCCCGCCAGGCTTAGAAAACACTGTGGGAAACCCTTCATTCTGACACAACCAGGCCCAAAATGTCCTAGATCAACAAAATGAGCTTTAAAACTCAAAGTAGTGGCCATTTGTAATAAAAAAACATTACATGAAGAATTTGAAGCAAAGCAAAAAGATTTTAATCCATGTGGAATAAGCAGAAATCATTCAGTTGTAAGTGTGTGAAATGTACCGATACAGTGTGTCTGTGATATCTCCAGCTAGCATCAATTATTCAGCGCGCTAGCAGCATATTGTAGTGAGTTTCACATATTGGATGCTAATAGGGTCACACAGTTTCTCAAGGCCTTTTGTAATAGAGGAAGCTGACCATTTGTAACAAAGAAAATCGCCTCAGACGAGGACTGCAGCTTCATCTGCATAAGCTAAATGGAGGTCAACATAATGTGAGATAAGTTGGTATTCAAAACCAGTGGTATTAGTGGTATTAGTTAGCGCAGTAGCATACTGGGAGCCCTGGTTGTGATGGATGTGAGTGTTTTAGTTCTCATGGAACAACGTAAAGGTTGTTTCTGATGCTCAGAGTTGGTTTTTTTAAGAGCTTCACAGTTTCTAGTGGCGGATTAAATTACAGTGTTCCAACACAGACTTCAATCTGGAATAATCTGGATTGACTGAGTCCTTATTCCCTGTTGGATTAAAGTGACAAAGAACTGCATTCCTAAAAACAAATAAGAAAAAGCATAATTCTGGAGCATAGAAATGTTTTAATATGTCATCCATGGATCCATCCATCCCTCCATTAATTCATTGTTATCCATCCATCTGTCATTCATTCACCTATCCATCCCTCCATCAGTCCATACCTCCATTCATTAATCTACCTCAGTCCTTCTGTAATTCATCCATTCATCCATTAAATAATTTATCAATTCAGTTTCCCTTCTTCATCATCAATCTATCCTTCTTGCCATTTATTCATGCTTCACTCTGTTACTTTTATTTGTCCATTAATTTGTCCATCAATGTGTTCATTTATTGACGCCCACCTATCCATCCATCCATTCATTCTCTCCATCCATCTGTACTAAATCTGAGTCTGGGAAAAGTGGTGTGAAAAATATGTAGGAACCCAGGAATCCGTTTTTCTGTAGAAGAAAATCACTAATAAAACCAACTTAACTCATTTTAATCCTAGTCTGTAAGCTTCTTTTCTGTAATTTTTTAGCCTGCTTACCACAGACTTTAGTACAGTTTAAGATAACAAAATGGCAGCTGACCGTTTCTTTCCTCCTCTGCCCGTCCAGGAGTCCCGCTCCAGGAGTCACGTTCCCCGCCAGTCCAACCACATGGTACCGATGAGGAACAGCGGCAGCCCCAAGTCCTCCATGAAGACCAAGCAGGCCTTCCTGCTGCAGGCCACCCGCCTCACCAAACTGGCTCGGCACATGTGCCGGGACATCATCAGGCTGCGCCGCGCTGCGCGCCGGCCCTTTGTCCCCATTAACTGTGGGGCCATAAAGGCGGAGTGTAAGAGCTCTTTCAATTCCTCCTAACTTCTGCCACATACCCACACACACACACACACGCATACACACACACCACCCTTCCTCTTCTCTCCTCACCCCAACCTCCCCACCATCGACCACCATCGCTGCCCTCGTTTGTCTCATTCTGTTTTTATTATTATTGTTATTATTATTTTGTTTTTGTATTCTCCCACCCCCTGTTTCCAATAAAGGCTGCCTGTCCTCATAACTGAGTTTTGATCATCTTTTCATTCGTTTTTTTTTTTTTTTGTTCATTTTCTGTTGTTCTGATCTTTTAATTCAGATCTATTGGTTAAAATATTCATTTTGCACACTCACACGACAGATAATCTTCATATAAGTAACAATATTATAACTTGTCTGAGCCATATCTTTGCAGGAGTTACATGTAGAGAAAATGTATTTTAGTAAGAAGCTCTATTTTGCATGGCGCCATCTGTGCTGTCATGACTCAAACGTAAATGTTGGCTGTAAATACTGAACCTCAGCTCCGCCATTTTGTTTCTTTTGCTCATGCATCTCCTCCTTTCTCATGACTGCGTGTTTTTTTATTTGTATTGGAAAAGATGAACTGTGATTGGACGGACTCCTGAGTATTCATACCTCTGGTTCTGTTTCACATTCCTGCACAATCACCTTCAGTTTTATTTAGATTTAATCTGAAGTTATTTTTGGTAATCTACCTCATTTATCAGTCCGGTGTTTTTACGTTTTACTCTTGCTGTAGGACGGCTCTACAGGCAGCTCAACCCAATGCTCCCATTCGCCTTCAGAGAGATGGGTCAACTCAAACAAAATATCAAATGTAGAATTTGGCTTTTTATTTGTGAAATTTCTCCTCATCACTTGCTGAAATATTCCCCAGCCTCCATTGAATAGACTCTTTATAAAAATAAATTCATTTCTTTCATGTTTTCTGGACCAAAGAGTGTTGCGGATAAAGGTTAGGACCACAAAAAAGAACAAAATTTGATTTTAATGTCAGAATTTGCTTTTTTTTTTTCCCTCTTCAGAATTTTTTTTTTCCTTTAATCTCAGAATCAGAAATGTTTATTTATGCACCACCAGCATAGATCTGCTCTTTAATCTGGATAAATGAATAAATGTGCATTTATCCACATTTATTCACTGTGGATAAATGTAGGTTTTCAACATAACTGACATAACACTGGCGTAGAAATATTTAGATTAATCTCATAAATGTTCTTGAAAAATCAAGGAAATCTTTAAAGTTTCTTTTCTAGCAAATTTCTGGGAATAATTTTAATGCTTGAGTTTTATCTTGCGGTTTTCCAACTTTTGGACATCAGAAATTTCCTTTTTTTTTCTTGAAAATTTTTGAGATGGAGTTTTTTTTATTATGGAAATTTACCCCTTTTTTTTTTTTGGTCCCAATACGGCGTCACAGACAAACTCACAAGAATGTTTGGTTATTTATTTGTGTTTTTACACAAATTGATACAGAATTAGAATTTTGACATTAAAACGAATTTTAATTTTTTTTGGTGGCTCTAATCGTTTGAGACGTCATTATTGCGGGTCAGTTTGGAACAGTTCACAATGAAGTCAGATATAGGCAACATTTTTAAGTAATGTGAGCGCAAAAAAATGTAAAAATCTAATAAAAAAAAAAAATCAGATTGGAGCATCTGCAGTGTGAACGTAGCCTGAGTTTCACCCCTGGAGGAGTCAGCCTGACTTTCTGGGAAAAAGGAAATCACAGCTTTTATTCTGACTCATCTACACTGAAAAAACAGAACAAGTGATCCAACTTAAATATTTTGGGTTAATGGGTCACAAGGAATCAAATTAAGTTTACCCAAGTTAATTTATTTATTTTATTGTCAAGTTAAGGGGTAGGGTTAGGGTTAGGGTAAGTTAGCCAAACTTCATTGAATTACTTGTGACCAGTTAGCACAGCTTTTTAATTTTAGTGCTCCATTCTCTTTTTTTTTCAGTGTACTGTACTCCTTACACTGAAAAAACACAAAGTCTTACAAAGTACTTTTGGTCTGGTCTCTACTTCAAACTTGAAATAAGCCAAAACTAACCTAAAAGTAACTTCGATTAAGATATAAAGGCTTGTTTTAAGTAAATAATTCCTTAATATTGATGAAAAAAGTACTTGTTCCAATGGCAACAAGTAGTTAAACAGCTAAATAATAATCCATGTTATAATTACTTATAACATGGGACATTTATCAGTCAGTAGAACAAGTACTTCATTAATATTAAGGAATTATTTACTTAAAACAAGACTATATCTTGCTGAAAAGTTACATTCAAGTTAGTATGTCTTATTTCAAGTGTAATAACATATTTGAACTAGAAACTAGACCAAAATTACTTGGTAAGAGTTTGTGTTTTTGCAGTGTAGTGAGACCTTTACTGAACAACTGGATTTAAACTTTAGCTTAAGTAACACAGACATGACTCTTGTTTACTAATAAAGTGATTTCTATATTAAATACTAATCCATTTTCCTTTCACTACTTTGTTAGTCTCACATAAAATCCCAGTAAAGTAGAAACCTGTGGTTGTGATGTGAAAGTATTACAGGGGTATGAATACTTCTGCAGGGCACAGGAAGTGTTTGCTGCATCACCATCTCACCCACAGTAGGACGGACCGCCTTCTCATGTCCTGAGTTCAGATCATGCAATATTCATTTGAAACCATCCTGAAGCCTCGTCTGTCTTGTGAATCCTGGAGACAGGATTTTACCGTCTTCCTCTCTTCTTCGCTCATTTTCTTCCTCCTTTGATTTTCCTTTCATTAACTGTGTGAATGTGAGGGATACATCTCCAATAAAGTCAGTCCTGAAAGCATTTCCTCCGAGTCCTTGTGCTTCATGTGTCTGTTTTGTGTCCATCAGCAGTTACAGGAACACACACCAGCCATCCTCCCCATGCATGCACTCTCATGCACATCCAGCTCCTTTTGTGACTCCCTCACCTTTTCATCTACATGTCTTGCAAGGCATTTCTTTCTGAGTGTGCATGTATGCATGAATCCAGATCTCAATTTTGGTTTTTCACGCTCATGCGTCGCAAATACGTCAAATTAAAGGAAACGACCGATACAAAGATATATATATATATATGTGTGTGTGTGTGTGTTTGGTTTAGACATGTTAAGGGTGTCAGAAGGGCAGGGGACCCGGCTACCCAAAACCAGAGCGGCCCAAAGGAGCACTCTGACCAGTGTCCTGCAGTTTCTAGGTAAACGCTCAGTGATATCAGCCCGAACTCCGTCCGAACTGCGTCTGAGCATCAATTATTCAGGCGGTGTGAACGAGCCAGTTCATGCAGCTCCAGTGTGTGGTGTCTCTTCCAGAGTCCCGGCCCATGGCCCACGCCCCTCGCTCCCACCGCACCGCAGGCCTGCAGACGCCTCCGCCTCGCCGCCTCCTCTCCTCTCTCCCGCACGGACCCCACGGCATGCTGGGAAAACGCAGCTACCACCACCACAGCAGGGCTGACCCGGAGAGGCGTTCAGGTACAAGGGAGGAGTTTGTTTTTTCTTCTTTCTTTTTTTTTTTTTTAAATCAGGATATCTGAGATTATTTCAAGAACGTAGAAGATGGAAGGGAAGAAAGGCACTCTTAATGCTTTATAAAATTAATTAAATTAACTTTTGTTACTAAATCGGAGCCACCTCAGCTAATTCTAGCAAAAACCAGTCAACCTTTGACTCTCGGTTCAGTAATTTGAGAGATTTTATTCAAGTTAAATTTGCCTAAATTTAAAAAGGTCGTGTTTAATAGCAGCTTAAAGCAGAAAGATGGATAAATGCATTAAATTAATCTAAAAAATGATTCACAATCGAGTTTTCCTTGTACATGTGTGTTTAGAAGCTTAACAAACTTTGAACCTTTGAACCTTGGTGTGTTTTTGTCAGATTAAGAACTTGGTGCACAAATAAATTTATTTATTTATTTATTTATTTATTTATTTATTTATTTATTTATTTATTTATTCATTCATTTTTTGTCATTTTCTTGAATTGACAAACAGAAAAAATTACACATACAAGTATACCAGTTTCTCTGGTTTTACTTTTTATAGGTATATGTTTGAGTAAAATTAACATTGTTCTTTTAGTCTATGAACTACTGACAACATGTCTCCGAAATTCCAAGAAAAATTTTTGATTTTATTTGCAGAAAATGAGAAATGGTCAAAATAACAAAAAATATGCAGAGCTTTCAGACCTCCAATAATGCAAGGAAAACAAGTTCATATTCATTTAGAAACAACAATACTAATGTTTTAACTCAAGAAGAGTTCAGAAATAAATATTTGGTGGAATAACCAATGGGGTTCAGTGCATCAAGTTTTCTGGCATTTAGCAAATAGAAATAATTGTGCTAATTCTACCTAAGCTAAAACAAGAAAAGTTTGGTCTGATTTAATTCCAGACTGTGAGAGAAAAATGTTTTTATGTAAATATCTGGTTTAAACTGTGCATGTATGTATACGTATTTATTCTTGTGCAACCATTTTTATTATTTATTTTTTTGCAGAAAACCCTGGTTCAACAGGAGGACCTCTCATCGTAAGTGAACGTCTTGTTTTTCCTTTACATCTTCATTGCTGTTGTAGTAAAACCATCGTAACCCATTTTTCCTGCAGCACAACGGCCGCAGCAGCAGCAGCGGAAACACCAGAGGAGGAGTAATGATTCGCAAGAGACGCCCCAACTGGATCGATGCTCCCGACGACAGCTTCTTCCTCGTCACCCGGGAGACCAGGTAAGCAAAGGTGACCCTTTATTGACACATGATTGTCATTATTCTGTGTGTGTTTTTGCATTTCTCACCTTGTAAGGCCCATTTTCACAACAGATGCTACTCTGTGAGGATCCACTGCTCATTAGTTTTCACTTCCTTGGATGTTTTATCTTCTTTTTTTTTTTTGCAAAATAGACACATTTTGTTGATCATGATTAAGTTAGAAAATAAATAAGTGGAATAAAACATCCAAGGGTTGAAAACTTTTTATAGGCACCAAAAAAAATCTATGTTTCTACATTTGGTTTAATCAAAAAGCAAAAACGTTTGGCTGCTTGGTGTCACCAGAGAGGGTCGCAAAGGTCATCATGCTAACTAAACCATAAGGAGAGAAAAAAAAAACACTTGTAAAAAAACATCATCAACAGGAAAATGGAGATGTTTCTTCAGGACTTGCATCTCCTGGGCTTTGTGGGACATCATATCTGGGGAGATTCTGGTCAGTCGTGTAAGTTTGCAGAAACAGCTGGTGAGTCACATCGTTTTATTTTCAGCAAGGTCAGGTGGGATCAACACATTTTTTACTTTATATCCCAATTTTCTTTCCCCCCCCCCCCATCCCTCTAATGTGCTTCCTGGTTTTGACTCTTTAGATCCCATCTAGACAATTTCAGAGTCCAGAACAAAAGGCTTAATTCTTAATCTTGTGATCTCCTCAGCGTCTCTCTTTCACAAAACACTGGTGAAGGATGGACGCGTTTAGCCGATGGATCTGTGCCACTGATGTCATTCAATCACTTTCCACTTACTTCTGCCCTCAAAATGTCCACTTCAACCACTTAGGAGGATGAAAATGAGCACCATTTCATGCCATTAGCGCAGCTTGTGATGCATCAACATCAATTCAGCTGCAGAGCAGACGCTCGTCATTGTGAGGGTGTGACATTAGCTTTTAGTCCAGAGCAGCTCGATGCGTTTCGCCGCAGCGTAAGAGACCCCCATGCGGGGCACAAAGGATGATTCTGATTTACCAAACTGAACCAGCAATACGCGTGAGCTCTCAGCAGAGATAATAATAATTCAAAAAAGAAACCAAGCAAGAAAGACAGTGGAGGTTGGGTAAGGAGTCTTTTTTGCTTTCAAGAAATTTATAAACTTCTGTGCATTTTTTTTCCTAGCATTTGGTGCTTCCCTGTCTTAAAACAAGAGGTGGAGATAAACAAACAAACAAAAAAACACACAAGTGGATATTTATCTTCCTAAATCATCACATTGTTAAAGAAGGTTACAAAAATAGGTAGAAAATACATTAAATTGTTATATTTCTTTATTTTTCTGCATTTAATTCAGATTGAAAAGTACCTTATTTATCCCAAAGGGAAATTGACTGTTGTTGTAATTCAAATCATTCAAATATCTTAAAGAGTTGTGGATGGTGGTGCAGTAGCAGTCAGTCTCGCAACAAATCTGAAGAGGCCTCTGACTGAAGACTGCTGTCATGACATGCTAAGAGTTCAATTTCTGGGATTTTAGTGAAATTCAAGGGAGCAGACAGATTATTTCATTATAACTATTACTTTTTCATCAATATTAAGGAAAAATGAACTTAAAAGAAGCTCCTATTTCTTCCTTAAAAGTTACTTGTGAGTTAATTTTGATATAATTGGTAAGATTTTGTGTTTTTGGAGTGAGCAGTGAAATTCCTGGACACAAATTTGCTTTTTTATTATTTTCTGCATTTTTGTCTTTCTTTTGTCATTTTCAGATGTTAACACTTCATGATACCAGTTTAAAAAAGCAAAGTAAGAAAATACTAGACAAAAATATATAATAATAATAATAATAATAATAATAATATTAATATAATAATAATAATAATAATAATAATAATAATAATAGGAATTATTATTATTGGACTGAATTTGTTATTTTTGACTTTTTCTTTTTTCATTATTGGATGTTAAGACTTTTTTGATACCAGTTTTAAAAATTGTTTTTTGACTTTATATATCCTTTTTTCTGTATTATATACTACTACTACTACTACTACTACTACTACTACTACTACTACTACTAATAATAATAATAATAATAATAATAATAATAATAATAATAATAATAATAATAAGTTATTGTTAGTGTAGTTGTTGTCAATGTTATTATGACTATTATTAGGATAATAAGGGTTGATTGAAACTGAATCTTAAGTTTGAAGAAATATGCTTTTCTACTCTCTTCCCACACACACACACACACACACACACACACACACACACACACACACACACACACACACACACACACACACACACACACACACACACACACACACACACGGTCTGTCCCGTGCGTGCCTTCAAGTAATCAGAGTTTTCAGCTCCTGTATGTGCCAAAGAAAGATGTTCCCCCATTAAGCCTGAGCCTAAATGAGCCACGGCACCCGGCCCCCTCAGCCGCCCGCCCTCGGACCACCTCGGCTAAAATTAGAGCAGCTAACTGGGTGCAGATGGAGCCAGGCACCGGCCGCGGCTCTGCGTGGAAATATCATTACCGCATTAACCATGGCTGCACTCACATGCATCACTCACTCACTCGCTGTGTGCTGGTGTGTGACAGAGTCTGCATCAATCTCAGAGCCTGTACAGCTCGTTATATTACCCTGTCATTCAGCCTTGCAGTGTAACAATTAATGCCTTCCTGAATAAAAGATCTGGTCTGATGCTGATGAAGGATGATTGGAAGCTGCTCTCTCTCTTTTTTTTCCTGCTCTCTCGGCGTGATGAACACTCTGTGTCGTGGTGCGGAGAGAAACGATGGGAGATTTTTCCCATTTACGCAGTGAAGGGGAAGACATTGTGCTTTCAGAAACAAAGCTGTGTGAGAAAGGTTGTAAAGTAATTTAACTGGACGAAAATCAGAATCTAGAACCAGAAAGTTAAAGGCATAACTCCATCTGTGATGCAGAAAAAAAAAAAAACTTTTTATGACACGCAGTTAAAATACACAGTCGATTTCCTCTTTATATCCTGGTTTATCATCTTAAGTCAAAAGTACTTGAGTTAGATTTTGTTGTGCAAGAACACACTCACTCAGTTCACACAGATAAAGATCAATTTGTTTGATGTTTATTGATCAGTGTTGGAAATATGTAAAATGCCATAACAATGCTTTCAGACAGCCTCAACTTTTCTGCTTTTTGTCAAATTTAAATGTATTTTATTGGGATTAGAGCAACACAAAGTTGTGCATAAGGTCGGATTTACAAGGGTGGCGCCTGAGCAGGAGCCAGTTTTGGTTCCCTATTCACTAAGAACAAACTAATTCACTAATGCAGATTGCAGAATATTAGGTAATCATATACATTAGTATGAACTGATGAATGGCAGGTTTAATATGACCTCTAACCAATAAGTCATTGTTGTTTTCAAAGAAATAAACGGTAACTTTCAGAATCTTAATACAGTTTAAGTAAGACAAAACTTACAAAGAAGTAATTTTTCAACGTTTTTACTAAAAAGTATTAGGTATAAGTGAAATAATCTGATGTTTTCTTGTATTATAAGTTATAATTGTTTTCTGGTATTTTTCATCAACATTAAGGAATTGCTGACTTAAAATAAACTCCTATATCTTGTTGAAAAGTTATTTTTAAGTTAGTTTTGTGTTGTTTCAAGTATAATAAGAGATTTGCACTTGGAGCAAGGCAAATAATGCTTAGTAAGACTTTCTGTTTTTGCAGTGTAATGTTTGAAAACATGCAGTCATTAAAAAACAAAAAATAAATCTGATTCTGCTCTCATTGGTTTTGCCACAAAAATTGGTTACTGCCCCTACAAGCAGTAACCACTTGACATGCATAATTGTCAAGTGGGAAAAAATATGCATAATTTTCAATGTTTTTTCAATAATAAAATGTATTTGTATTTATACCAAAGCATAATCATGTCAGAATGGCCTAGTCAAAGTCCTGATTAAGAAACTGTGGCAAGATGCGAAAAAGAATGTTTCCAGACGCTCCTCATCAAGTGAGCTTGATTTTAATGTAATCCAAACCCAGATGAAAAAGGACCAAAGTGTTTCTGCACAATCGCTTTCTGAGATGTCTGAAAGTGTTTGAAAAACTTTTTGGATTTTATTTGTAAAACAAAGAGAAAATAATGTTTTATTTTCTCCCACTTTATTATTATTAAACACTACTTTTTGTTGGTGTCTTGCATGAAATTCTGATAAAATACAATTAAGTGTTTGGTTGGCAGTAATGTAAAAACTTTTGCACAGGGGATGTTCACCAAAGAATTATAACTTAATCTCAATTGAGATTACGCTTCTGATTTCCTATTGTTGTCCTTTTAATGTATCTTCTTTATTGGAATCCCGCTTTAGCTGCTGAAACTCAACCAAACAAGA